ATAGGGGGCGACGAACGTCGTTACCATGGTTAGAAATTCGTCACTGCAATGCATTGCGTGACATTGAAAGACGTCGGATAAAAGGGAAGAATCGGGCATAGGAGCGTGGAAGAGTCTCACCGTGAGATCATCCCTCCGACCCATATGCGTACGTTGGGATACCAGTAAGGGTATATTCTCGAGTCCATGGGGGGGACCACGGTCCCGGGATAATGCCCTCGTTCTTCCCCAGCCCGGGATGGGATTATCTCGGGTCAGGTAGGTCCCGATTCGGTGCACCGATGCGTCGCACAATACGGTGGGTAGGTACGGGTCGCAGGGATTCCCGAATGGGATTGCGTAAAAATAAGATCCGAGCAGGCCCAATGAAAAGCTCGCGTGGGAGTCCGCGTCCCGTGCGTATTCGGATCCTTTGGATCGAGATCGAAGAAAAACGAACGGAGGGGGCGGAGATCCGTAACGTACTTTCTCTCGCGAGCACCGGAAGCCTCCGGTAAGAATTCCTCGAACTTCGACACCTGCCAGCCTGCGAGAACTTCTCTTCGTTCTCGCGTCAACGTACTTTTTCCCGTACGCCTGACGCTATGAGTACATCAAGCCCCGAAGTGATCTCATCGTAGTCCGTTAAAATCGAACTTACCCTTTCGTCAGAGGAGTCATCGTATCTTCTTAGTTTCCGTTGGATGTTCGGTCATCTTGGCCCAACGGTGACCGTTAATCGAGGCGAGAAAAAAGCATCAGGAATGGGATAGAAGAAAGCAACGATCCGGGAAGTTGGTCCCACGACCGTTGGATGTGTCCCGGTCGTCCGTTCGAAGTCGGCTCTCAATTTCGGTCGGCTAATCTTGGTTAGACAAAGAGACGGTTCGCGCGTCCGGGTCGAATCGTCCCGGTCCGGGATACAGGACGAACCGGTATCCTGCGACAGGACCGTTGCCAGGTGAGTTCTCGCGAGTCGTTCGGGAGGAAGGATAACGGGCCGCGTGTAGGGGGAATCGAAGGAAAAAGTTGGGAAGCAAGAAGACGCGTACACGCGGAGATTCGTATATACTCGTAGGAGCGGCTCCCCTTTTCGCGCGATCACCCTATTGTTCCGGTCGAGAGGGAATAGAGAAGACAGGTTTCATTTATGGTCACGTATGGTAATGACTGGAACGAGAGATCACGACGGGATCAGTGCACGAATAGTCGTATTACCGGAGACAGCCGGTTAGCCAGGACGAGGAATCGTGTCCCGGTTCCTGTCCCGGTCCCTGTCCCGGGATACGAATATAAATTTACATATTTTCGGCCCGCATCCTACGACCGAATCGCGTCGCGCAGTTGCCGCACGTCCCACGTGGGAATCCACCGACTTCACCGGCCCACCGACGACTCTCCAACGGTTTCTTTCGCCGTTAGAACCCGAGGATCGTCTTTGCTCGTTACTTCATATCGTCTACTCTCTATGCCCATATCCCCGATAGTGGCCCTGCCTTCGCGCACGTATTTATACTTCCCTTCCCACGTAAACGCGTTTATGTATCCGTATCTTTCCTCACGGAGGTGTAACGCGCGGTAAGTTTCGCGGCGAACCATGAATCCTTACCAGCTTTATTCGACACGAACGGAAGTCGAACGCGTGCAGAGTTATTGGCGTACGAATCGGCGATGACCTCGATGGTTTACTCAGTCGCGAGTAATGTATACCCGGACGATGTCAACTCATTGTTCACGGTCCAACGGCGTCTTCTTTTTTGTCTCTTTGAACCGCCTCCCTTCGAATTCAGGCGTCGATGAAATTCACCACCGCACCGGATCCGGGAATCGGGTCCGATTCGTAACTTTGATTGCCTGCGACGCATCCTGCGTTCCGTACACTTTTTTGCCTACTGTCCGCGCCTATCGTGCTCGACGGCCTTCGCGGTCGAACGACGAATCGAAACGCTGCCCGTCGTTTGTCTTTCTCGAGTTTCGGTCACGATTCGATTTACGTAGAAAAGCGCGATCCGTGCTGCACGGCCACCGACCGTTTCTTCGATAGTTCGTAAAATTGCTAAAACGCGCAGTAAACTGAACCGTTGAATGTTTTCATAGGTCGCCGGAAAGTTTGCTCTGGTCTTCGGGTCCGCAACAACTTGGGAGTCTGTCGCACGAAACGAATTCTAGTATGTGTTTGGTTCGTCGAGCGTTCGAGCTCATTTCCACATTTTCGTTTACGAGACAAGTTTCGTTGACCGAGTCGGACTTACGATGGTAGGTAAAACGATCCTCAACGTCAGCAGAACCGGTGAACAGTCTCGGAGAATAATGGACCACCGGGATGGAGTTTTTATGTACTGCGGAGACGAGCAATTAGCAACAATGCGGGAAACCCCCCGCCAGGAAAGCCTGCGTCCGCGACCTTTCCAACCCGCATAAATCTTTTCCAGGGTATACGATCACCTCCTCTCAGAGCTGTTTCGCGTCCTCTCGATGCTCTCGTTATTGTCGCGTCGTACTGCACCACCCGTCGATTCTGTTTTCGACAACATCGTTTATTTCGGACGAAAACGTTTTAGCGCCGAAGAAAGGTGCTCGGTGAGTCGAACCAAGCGTTCAGATCTCCTTGGAGTCTTTGGTCAGAGCCGCGTGGTACTTACTACGTGCTTACTTTCCGTTACCCAAAACGAACGGCACGGACGAGGCGTTTCGCGCGATCGGTATTTCGGTAGCGAATGGGTTAAGCGGCTGTACTCAATTTTTAGACAGTCTCTCTTCCTCTCTCGCGTGCGCGACCTTCTCCCGTTCGGTGACGGGGGGTAGGGGGGAACCGCCGCGCTGCACCGTGCTGGTTTCCTTTCGTTTTTATTTCGTTCTGCGTGGAAGAAGGAAGGTCGTATGGTGCGGATGGAGAAAGGAGGGTAAGAGGGGGAGGGCAGGAAGGGAAGCGAGATATCCTTCGTGTGTGGTCTTCGCGAAGTCCTCCCTCGGTCAAGTGGGAACCGAGCCGAGGTGTCGCGTCGCGTCGCGTCGCTTTGTGCGTGGTACGTACACATGCGTACTCGTTTTACGTCGTACGCTACGATAACGCGGTGTCCCACGTGAACGTGAATGCGTAAGCATTAAATTGTGTCTAGTCGTGTCTATTTGCCTACATCTAACTCGTCATTAAGTTGCCAGTTAGAAACTCTCGTATTTCTTTGGACGAGATTTTCAAAGACCATTGAGGATAATCCACGATCGAGGCAAAGTCGTAGAAACAAATCATGAAGCATAGTAATTTATGTTCACGTGCCAGTGCGCGTATAATACCAGGTTTCGTGGGTCGAACGCTCCGGTCTGTCGTGATTTCTCGTTAGAATCGTGATCACCTACGCGCTCGCGTATCCTCGAAACGAGCAACGAATCGGGCGATGGTTTAAAAAGATTCCACCGGTGCGTTCACGATTCGTGTATTTTTATTCGAAGAGGACCGTGTCATCCGGGAACAGGTCCTCGAGGGTAGCGGAAAGAAAAAACGCAGACGACTGGCGAGAAGAGGAACTAACGATAAGAAAGCGTGCGCGCGATGTGGGAGGTCCTCCGGTTTCATAGCCACGGCTACGAACCGTTCGAATCATTTGTCAATCCGGTCCAGTTTAGCGATTCGTCTCGCCGACACTAGGTCCGGCCATGTAGGTACTAGTCGGCTTCCATTTCCACGGATCTAATGCGCCTACGCTAGCTACAACAAGCTGGTCCAGCGAGGGTGCGCGAAGGTCCATTCGTTTCCCTCGAGCCGCGTAAGCGCTTTAAATGGAAACGACCTCCTTTTCCATTCTCCCCTGTGGACACCCCAAATTGAGCCACGATAATCGTAGTCGATCGCCCTGAAAGCGAGTTCAGTTCTAGGATCGGGATCTAAGAAAGTTCCAGAATTGATAATGACAAAAAGAGAGAACAAATATATACAATATATATAAGGAAAGAAAAGTAAAATGATATAGAAAAAGAAAGAATGAAGAGAGCGAGGACAAGATTTGATCACTGATCACTGACAGAATGCGGATGGAATTACGTTTAAAAATTGTGTAATGTTGACCAAAATGTTCAGTGAGCTAGACAACTTATTAACATTATAAGATGCCCTGATAATACAGTTGAACTGAGCATACAGAGATACACAAAATTCCCGATCGAAAATTTTAAGGCGACAGGGTCTTGGATAAAGGACGACGGAAGTTTAAGTAGCGACGTAGCAGGGCTAGCGGAATCTCAAAATCGAAGGGAAGAGACGAAGGCGAAGGGTCGCCCTCTCTCTCTCTCTCTCTTTCTCTCTTTCGCTTTCCGCGCTCTTCGCTCGGCGCCAGGGGCCTATTAAAAACGATGCTTAAAGAACGAATTATGGAAATGAGCCGTTATGCCGGGTTCCCATATTACCGACGACTCAAGCCCGCTCGCGTTCAAATTACAGGTTGCGTTCAGCCCTCGACTCCCTCCCTCGTTCTGACTCAAGAACTGGCTCCGGACTCCTCGGACTCAAACACGTTACATTGATTTTAGGAATCGAAGATTAAAACCTCCCGCCGCGAGCGTCCACTACTACTTCTTCCTCCAATTTCTAGCCCGTCCGTACTTCCCGCTTTTTTTTTTTACCTGCTTCCCTTGCGCGACCGATAGTCTGAATACGTCGCGAGCTTCGATCGATTTACGAATGCAAATAAGTACGGTATTTACATGTACAGTTAATCCTCTTTTTACACATAAAAGGAAATCGTGTGGAAAGAAAGTAATGCAAATACTGATTAGCAAAACTCTGAATAAATCGTACTAATGGAAACCGCGTAACTTTAAAATCGTGTAAAAAAAATACCATGTAAAAGGAGGTTCAGACGCATGTGCGCACAAATGTGTATGCCAGTTGCAATCATCGCAACTGCGTAATCACGATACTGTACGATGTTCGGAATTAGACGATATCTACGACCGATTCTCGTTATCTTCCGACAATTGTCCCCAGTCGATGTAAAAACATAGTTGTAAGCCAAATAAATACTTACGACGCCACGTTATCTCTCGATCAAGCTAGTCATCGTTGTTCTTTGTCTCCGCGATGCGTTCAGAGCGAACGATAAAACAGATGCACTCGTCTTATCGCTTTCGCAATTGCTCTCCGCGATCTACGCACAGGTACGAAAATTGTTCCCCTGCAGCTTGCGAACTTCGGTTCTTCGTGATCGAGCAAAGAGGTGAAAATTGTCGAGCGTAACGACGACCGAAAATCGATGACTCCATCGTTGCGGTCGTTGTTGCGTTCCTTATAAATCGGTCAAGTGATTGTTAAGCCTCGACGAATCGTGCCGCGGAGTAGGCGCCACCGCCGTCGCGACCGAAAGCGAAAATAGAAGAACCGCGAATGAGAGGTGGGAGGAGATGAAGAAGGAAGAGGAACGACAGTCGCCTTCTTTCTCGGTAGCGAGATTCGAAGTCGAAGTAGCAGCGAGCAGAGGCAGAGGTAGAGGACCCCCGGCGCGCTCTCCTGCTGTGACCGGTAGCCATCCTCTGTCCCGTTCGTAATATCCATTCGAACAGTTATACGCGCGTGTGCGTGCCCACGTACGTGCGTACGTTCTCGTACGGCTGCACCGTGGTTTCGAAAGACGCGCGTACGTTTACGTTCGCAAAGGACTTAATTAAAAATTATAAATACCTACGCGTCGAATTAAATTTACGACTTATCATGGTATACGCGAAAAAATTCGTTCACAGATCTCAGTCAGATACCATTTTTCCCTGCTACAGATATGACGAGTTTCCTTTAGAACGTAAAGATGATGTCGAGATCGCAACGACCGCGCTGTTGCGTAACGAAAGTATTCGACTGGCAGGTCCTTTCATTCTCCGGAAATGTGCAATCTCTCTTAAACTCCGAGAGAGCGAGACGAAAAGAGTTCGCTGCAAGCCGCACTCGAATCCTAATTTCGACTCGACTGCGTGAAACAAAGCGTCGACGCCTATTTAGGCGGTGATCGATCTTCTCTCGCTCTTCGTAAGAGCTGTGGGAAAAGAAACTCAAGGTACTTCTAGGCAATAGTAGAGGCGGTAATTTACGAAGTCAATCGAATATCGTGGTGGATAGTACGTGGAGGGTCATCGAAGAGAGCCGCGGGGTGTTGTTCGCTGGAATTCATCGGCTTAGATTTCGCGAAAGACAGTGTCGCGTCGGGTCGGTCTCTCACGGCACTCGAGGCGCGCGCGCGGTATCGGTTGCCTTCGCCGAAGGGGAAGAAAAGCGAGGAACCTAGACTATTGGCCCCCGACGGAGACCGATCGAATAAAAATACGCGGCGCGTCGGCCGACCGCGGTGTCCACCGCGGGAATTTCAACCCCCGCTGCGTTGCACCCAGCGCGCACCCTCTATGTCTACGCTCCACGTTCACAGGGTAGGATATTTCTGTGGCATCGGTGCTGTTGGCGGCAGCCACACGCAAAGCGCCACGCGTTCCACGGTACTTATGCATCTACATGCGTTGTAAAAATACGTGTATATACGAGTTCTCGCATCGGAAACGATTTTCAGATTTCCGATCGAGCGGAGGCCTTGAAAATCTCTACGCAAAACTACGCAATCTACGTTAGAACTGTCCCGGCATGTACTTATTTCCTCTGCTGTTGTTTACTGCTCTTCACAAAAAAGGGTCGTAGCCGCGTGTGTGTATATATATATAAATATATACATATAAATAATAAAAATTGATTTCGCCGATGGAAGATGAGAGGCGGAAGGCGGAAGTTCGAGAGTACCGAGTCGAAAAAATCGGAGGTGCGCGTGCCGAAAGAAAAGGGACGAGTAAACTCGTTTCGATGCGTAACGCGCTCAACGAGAAGGCGACCGGAGCGAAAAGATAGGGAGAGAGGTGAAAAGGGACAATCTCTGGCGGATCTCGATCCAAAAACTCCGAACATATTTCCTCGAGTTTAGAGCCAGCCAACCGAGTTCGGATCTCATCGGTCCTCCCGTGGAATCTCCGTCTCCGAATCTCCGACTCAACCATCTCTCTTCGGCAAACCTTCCCGTCCTTTCCTCTCCTTTTCTCGGTCTCTTCGCTCTTTTCTACCTGTTCGGGCCGCCGCCGCCGCCGCGTTCTTCGAGATCAAAGCGCGCCGACGCGGCCCAGTGTCGGCCCGTAGTCCGTGGGGTATCGCGCGAGACGGGGGGTGGGAACTCATCGGCCCATCGGCCGATCCAGCCAAGGGAAATAGAGAAAGCTGTTACGTTACGCGGTACGGTAGATATTCGTTGATGCGTTGGCTATTAGCTGATCTCTCGCATCGCGAGTGGAAGCTGCGGCGTCGCCGTCTCTTTGCTTATAAATTACACGTGCGCACTATTGCTACGATGCGCTTATTAAACTTTGCATGTACTGTGTTAGTTTCCCAATAAGTTGAAAGGATAGAGGGAAAAAGTTAAAATTTAGATACGATCGGCTGAGAGTTGGGACGCGGCCGAGCAGGTTCCGATCGTTTTCAAGTTAAGCTCAAGAGACAATAGCTATCCGTGTCCCTCTCTTCGGGAAATCCTTCGTTTTCTTCTCTTCGCGACTCGATTATATCTTTCGTCTGGCATCTGCTGTGTCGCCACCAGAGTATATCGGTCGCACTTATTATAGTATACCCTTTGATCCTAATCCTAATTCGATACTTCCGCGCTCGCTTTTCGATCGCTACGCTGTGAAAACTATGCTTTGTTTCCGTATTCTATAATTCTCAATTACGTAACTCTTTTCGAACGTATAGTATTCGCGAATTGGATTCCCTATAGCGAATAACATGCAATAGCCGATGTTCGATGGAATTAACCCATTTACATCATTAGCTAAATATATCCGCTCAATTTTGTTATTTATTTTTTCTTACGTAAGTGAATTGAAGTGATGATACATGTACAAATTAATGAAATGTGTAAAAAATGTTGAAAAGTTCTTTTTACTTGTAATTTTTCTACTTAAATACAATTTTTTAAAATTTGGTAATAAATTCCTTATTTTTCATACTTCCTTATGATGCGAATGCGTTAATGGGAGAATTGACTGCGTGTCGGTTACATTTTTTTACCAATCGTAATGGAAATTCAGTGTAGATTCCAAGCGTATCACGATTACGTTTGGAATCTCGTTTATCAGTGTCCACTGCTCAGAGGTTTACGCATTGAACAAAACGATTCTGTCTCGCGATTCGAGATTAGATCGTTGGATTACCCGTTCGATTAACGCTCGATGAAGAAACCAAGATCGCCCCTCGTCGATAACGATTATCAATGTAGAGGTAATTATCACTTTCCAAGTTCTCTTCAGGAATCGGAATGAAAGAAAAGGGAAAGAACATTTTTTTCATCGGAACGAACTCGTCGAATTCGTCTCTGCCCGTTACTTCGCGAACGCGCAGCTTGCCGTTTGCATCCCGCGGTTTCACGGTTTCCGATCCATTCGCGTGAACCCGCTAATATACCAATGCGATAAGGCGATAAGGTGAGCGCGGCGCGCGGCAGGGGGTTCCCGCAGACACGCGGGACTTTGTTCTCGTCCGTTCGGGCGTGTCGTGTTCGCAAACGGAAAACGCGTGCACTCTGACTACGCGCGAATTCAGCGTTTCTTTTCTCATCGTAAATCGACTACTACATAAACATTATTGTTCGGTTCAGCGCGAACCTTCCTCTCCTATAATTTGAAAACAGTAACCGTAATAAGTTCTTGACGACTTACGATTAGTTAACGAGTTGCATCTTCTTAGAATCGTTTCCGTTTTTGGGAGAATCCGTAAATCGACGAGATCTGAGAAGAAGTTTGTCGACAAGCAGTGACGAAGTTGGCGATTACTGATTGTGGTCGCGTGTTATCTCGTTCGGTGTATTTGCGTAGTAGAGGGTTCAAGCGTAGACACTGGGCCGGGTACGTTGCGCCGCGCCGAGAGGAGAAACGGAGACACGGACGCGAGGCGTTATCGAGACCGATAGCGGGGCTATTAGTATATAAAGCGGCCGGCTCCTCGTTGACGTTAGTTACGATTTGCTCTCCCGCCCGCATCTGCTTCGCGTCGCTCTCGACTTTCGTCTCTCGATGAACGCGTAATTCGCGATTCCAATCTGAACGTCGAAGTTTCGTTTCACGGTGCAAGATCTTCGTTCGAAAGGATAAGGGGGAAAGTCCCTCGACACGAAGCTACGACCTGGGCAAATGAGAATGCAGACGGCTTCAATCTAGTCGATCATTGGATTAGTCAAAGGATTCGAATCGACCAAATCGACTCAACAACGGAATAACGGTTTCATTGATCACGAACGATCGCGATTCTTTCATGAGAGGAATAAGAAACGTGTGCTCGCATTTGATCGATTCGTCCCGGAACAGCTTAGTTATGTTCTCGATCGAGTACAGCAAGCAATTCTTGAGCTACCGTATACTCAAGTCGAACCGGTTCAAGTACATCTGACGATACGGACTCGGACTATCGAGTGTGATAAAAGTGTGCGCGCTAAGACGAGAGTGTGTATGCGAAGCGTACCGTACCGTATTCGACTCGTACGTACATCGAGTTCGCGTCCTCGGGGAGAAACCTGGAGAAACCGCGGAGAAACGAGACGGCAAGACCTGGAAAGTCTTGTTCGCGGTTCGCGGTTCGCCGATGCTGGTTAAGCCCTTTCCCTCCTACACCACCTTGCGAGGAAACTACGCTCCTTCCCGCCTTACAAATTTTTACCTTTCGCCCTCCGATTATAAACGAGGCCTAAATTGCGCCAATTTCGAAAAAGAGAAAATCTCTTACTTCTAAGAAGGAAATTTGCACGTTTCTCGGTCGATTAAGGAACGAATTAATTCGGATAAAAATTAAAAATGATCGTTTACGTACCGGGTAGAATGCCAAGCCACGTTGGTCCCTACGGCGGCGCTCGTTATCCGGGCACCCTGCTAGGAGCAGTGCCGGGTTTTTACAGCCCGGTTTCCGGTTATCCGAGCAGCGCGATTTCCAGCTACTACGGAAACCTCGGCTCGCCCCGGCACAAGTCATCCGCGGTGGATCTTCCGGTTTGGCCGCAAAGGATGCCGATCGAGGAGGAACTCGGAACATCCCCGTCGGCCGCGTTGCCGGTCCTCGCCGTGTCTCCGACCGGCGCCCACGCTCCGCCGAGTCCCGCACACAGTGACTCCGACGCTTCCAGCTCCAGTTTGGAACTCGGGACCATCCGACGCGGCGAGAACGCTCAGCTCAAGTGCAGGTAACTACGGACTACCTATCCTACGTATCTTATCTTCTCGCCAGGGGTCGATTTACAACTTTCGCTTTATTTTCGTTTATTCCCGCGGCGTCTACCGTTCTCAGCGATAACGGTGCCAAATCTGAACTTTGCCGTGCTCTCTGCTGTAGCTCCGCGATTATTATGTTTTTTATCCGTACAATAATACGAGTAATTATACCTATCAATCGCGTATCTTCCGACATCTTCAAATGCGATAGAATTCATTTTTACGAAAATTTCTGAAAGTGCAAAGGTCTGGCTGGAGTTTGCAGTTTTGTATCAGCGTCGATGGAACCTGAAAAATTTGTTTGTCCTTATCGCCGTTTGCACATCTCGTTATCGGAGAAGCTCGTCTTCTTCAGACGTTTTCACCGATCGGATTCCCCACTTGTCCATCGAAAATCATATGACTGGCGTCCATGGCTATCATCGAATATTTACTCGTACGATTATTAGCGTTAGCGCTAATTTAACCGTATCGTCTCTACCCAGTGCATTCGCAGCACGCGCCCCCTCGTTCCGGTTCTAACTAGTTCTGCGCATCCGTCGCGATTCGCGATATCAAACGCCACCCTATGATCTTACTCTTCCTCTTTCCTTTTCTCTCTCGTTTGAAAATGACAAGCGGCAGTAATCACGGTGGATCGTGCGTTTATCAGTTTGCCGGTCAAAGATCGCGGAGTTCAAGATAATAAAGATGCTCGATCGTGGAAAGAGAATTCTCACGTCACCGGCGACCTTTCTCGCGATGACTATGACACTCGTGTTTTCGGAATTCGTATATCAGCACGCAACGAGTTAAAAATAAAAATAAACTAAAACACTGCGTGGAACGGTTGCATTCCGATAAATTATCAATCTTCTCGTATTTTTAAAAATTATATAATGTACTCTATTTTATCAAGGACAGTCTCGATTTCTGCCTCTGTTCGTATCTAGCCAGTTGGTCGCTATCTATTCTTTGGTCACAATTCGTAAAGAAGAACGGGAGAGCAAAACGAACGATATCTCGCTAACGGGCAGAGAAATTACGAGAGCCTCGTTCGTGGCTCGCGGTTCGTTTTGAACTTCTCGTATTTCCGAATCCTCTATACGACACGACTGATTCGTCGCGAGATCGTTTATGGTGGCGAAACCTCACGTTACGTGCTCGCATGTGACAGCCACGTGTATGCGAGAAATAGACCTGATTCGTTATCGACGCAGCTCGTTGTGGCAATTGAACGAGTCGAAGCCGTACGTCTCGTCGTCGTATACTTTATATTATAAGCACGTAAACGATTGCGCGTGTCACGTGCCGCTGTCAACCATTTTCCTTGAAACTCTGCAGATAAGACGCAACAGCCGAGTCGAAAAGGTCGCCAACGCGAACGCGGAACAGAACCAGGAAACGTTTGCGCGTATAATGCGCTCCGAATGCGATTATACTCCGTTGCTGCGATCGTTCCGGCGCATCGTTCGCGATTTCCCCCGCTGGAACTTCTGGAAGTTCGCTGCAAGCTCAAAGCTCGCTTCTCGTCCAGATAAACTAGTGTCAAGTAATGACAATTGCGCAATTAACGGAATTGGCATCAATTGATCAGTCGGACGGACATTCTTGACGTAAATCGAGCATCGATATCCGAGCCAAGTACGTTCCCACCGATTCCAAATCGCGCACGATGCCGCAAGTCCTATGCCCTCAAAGGAATCCGATCTAAACGCGTTCAGCTGTTCATCTCGCGCGCGACGAAAGGAAAACAAGCGGGTTATTAATAGATTGACAATGCGGACGATAATCATCTTACCGAAACGAATTGATCGGTCAAAGGTCGATGACAATACCCTCCGGCCTTCAACCATGATACGCCATCGTATATACTCGTGCAAATTAATCTAGACTCTAAGCTGGAGAGATCAGAGGCTAATCAGACTAACGAGTCTAACATTCTATATTCGCAGATGGCAAAATTGTGGTCGCTGGTTTACGTCTTTGGAACAACTAGCGGGACATGTCGCACGGCTTCACGCCGCCCCGGGACCGCGAGGACTCTTTTATTGCGGATGGGAAGGATGTGCCAGAGGTGAACGCGGATTCAATGCTAGGTAAAGATCCTGATTGCATTTACAATTCTCGTTTTACTTCACTTCTCCGTGACGAAGAATCGTGAAGAACTCACGTGATTATTATTTATCTCGTTATCGTTTAGGTACAAGATGCTGGTCCACGTTCGAACGCATACGAATGAGAAGCCGCACCATTGTTTCCAGTGCGACAAGAGTTTCAGCAGAGCGGAAAACCTGAAGATCCACGCCCGATCGCACACCGGCGAGCGACCGTACGTTTGCCCGGTCGAAGGTTGCAATAAAGCCTATTCGAACTCGTCGGATAGATTCAAGCATACGAGGACCCATGCCGTGGATAAACCGTACTGTTGCAAAGTCCCCGGTTGTCCGAAAAGGTACACCGACCCATCCTCCTTGCGGAAACACGTGAAGACGTATAGGCATTACGTGAACAATAATGACAAGGTGCAGGAGAAAAGTTTCGATCGACTCGAGAACGACTCGCGAGAGAAAGCACGGTTGGACGGGAGTGCGATCTCGCCGGAGAAGCAAAGTAGTAGCAGCGGTAGCGCGCGTTCCGAATCGTCCGATAAGAAGGACAGCAGCGTCGAGAGCAACGTGTCAGCCTCGAGTCCGAAGGTTAACAACAGCAGTAGCAACAGCAGCAGTTTTGAGGAACAGAGAAACTTCGTCGAGTGGAACAACATGTACAACCTTCGTGAGCAACCGGCGGGCAAGGAATTGGAGCAAATTACGCCAAGGAAAACGTACGAGCAAGATGTAAGCGTCTATCCGAGGATGTACGACGACGACGGTTATATCGTACCTGAGAGAATTCAATTGAACCCCATGTACGTTTCTGGTAATACTATTATTAAGGAGGGTCCGATGATCACCGCACGGTCGCCTCGGACTAGCCCGAACCCGAATCACCACGTTTCCGACGCCGTCGCGTTGCCACCTCGCATCGGGATGCAGTCGACGCCCATTAAGACCGAACAGCAGCAACGGCAAGAATTGCTTGCTCTCGACTGCCCGAGCAAAGTGACCACGGTCGACTATAGGAACATCGAATCGATTGTAAACGGCGCACCCTGTAAAAAGAAAGAAAACGCCGTGGGCGATCTGACTGTTAGAAATTCTGTGATAAAGCGAGCTGAGGATCTGAAGATGGAAGTCGACCAAACGACGCCGACGAAACAGGTATGCGAGCAGACCACCGAGTGCTGTTGTCGCCACAAGTGTTGTGTCCACAGCACCGACGACATTTTTCAGAAAACCAAGATCCTCTCGGATCTGATCCTGAAATCGCAGAATCCGTTGTTCAGACACCTGCTGGGGACGGTGGACCTTCGATACGGATTGGATAACGCATGGGGCAACATCACGGACGCGAACGATACTTGCGGACAAGTTCTCCGGGTTAAGAACGAGAACGTAGTCGAGATGGAACAAGATCTTCCGTTAGATTTAACGATCAACAACAAGTAGACTATAGAAATTTTTACTTCGCGTCAGTCGCAGCTTCTTTTCGATATACGTTTCGCGTTTTCCTCAGGGTTTCGTCGGGGAGTGGAAAAGAGAGTTGCCTCTAATAACCGACCGTAGCCGGACCGTATTTGAACGCGTTCGAGACCGTCCTTCGTCGTCGAGCAAGTGCCTTCATTCAAATAAATAGTAAGGTCCATCGACCTTTTTCGCTGACCCGAGACGATCTCGAACGCCGACGTTCTCTCGTCGTATCTCTGTTGCTTAGGCCACGGTCGGTTTCGCAGTCTAACAATAATAGAAGTTTTACGTTGCGCCATTTTTCCTTTTTCGATCGGTTAAATTCATTTAAAACATGCGAAGAAAGTTTACGTGGGACGGTATTTTGTTTGATTTAAAGGTCGGGTCAACAAAACGTACAAAAGCAATGAGAGAATGTAACACGCGATTATCAGAAAACAAGTTGAGATCGAATACGTCGAGTACATCATGTCGCCGACCATGATTGTAACATGTCGTAGCGGAAACTGTTTGACGTCAAACAAGACTCACTGGAACGCGATAATTCGTTAAACAGTGAAGATCCTTCCCCGTCTCTTTTCTTTGATCCAATAAATTCTTATTTGTGCCCATGTGCACGTACGATTAACCAAAAAAATAATCTAACTCGAGCGCGTGGAGTGTAAGTAGAAAAAATGGCACATTACATCGTAAACACAGTCACGATACCTCTGTAACATAATGCGTTTGGAAGGAACTACCCGGTATGTCGTGTTAAACATCTATGTATAATATGTATATAAAGATATATTATGTATAAGGTAATTGAAAAACTAAAGACGTATGGAGGGAGCGGTACGTAGGTTTTTGCAGTGAGAACGGTGTGTTTATCGACATTGAGCTATTCAATAATAAAACGCATTATTTATGTAAAAAAATGTTCTTTCTTTAGCATCGTAACAAGTTCCTCCCGCTCGATACACGGAGCGATATCAGATAAACGTACGTTTTGAAAACATTATTAAAAGAATATATTAAGTATTGGTATTCGGTACGCATTCGTATCTGAAAAACTTTGTTTTTCGAACTCGTATCAAACGCTTACGGATCGATGCGCTACCGATATCTGACACAACGACAATTACGATCATTGGGAACGAATATCTCAAGGGAAATTAAAGTATTGGATTCGCGATAGATTATTCGGAATAGAAAAGATCAGATATTTATCATGCTTATCGGTTTCGAAATGAATATGGAAGCGATCAATAAGGGAAAGAGGCGAGAGAATTCTTTCCACAATTCGTCCCAACATTTTCTTTGTCGTTTTCGATTTTTTCGCGACTCTCTCACGATCTTATTTTCGGCGATGATAATGATATTAATAACTGTATTGTCGCAATATCGCGTTGATAAAAATACGCAGCCAATTCGCGTTACTATCTAAATATAAGTTTCACGATATATTTTGACTTATCAGCAACTCGGACATGCCATCTTTAATGATCTTCAAGCTTTCTAGGTCGGAATGTATCGTCGCGATAAGCTGCGCCATGCCTTGCTGCTCCATCGTAAGGTACTGTAAAAAAATAAAAGATTGGGTAAAGTGTCTGTGTGCAGATGTCGCGTATTCGAAAACTCGTTTTACATACCGTCTTTATGTCGTCCTGGGCTATGGGATCCATCGCGTACCTCTCTTGATTTTGAGTATCTGCATGATTTCTCATCCTCAATTGAGAAAGCATTTCGCTAATTCTACCCTTGAATTGGGTCGGAGCGCTAATTTGTGAATGCATGGCTTCGAATCTTCGAGTTAAAACTTCCTCATCCGGTTGAAGAGACAACCCGACTTTACGAGTAATTTCTTGTCGTACTAATACCTTCGAAAATCAAAGAAACAAGAACATGGAAATATCGATTCGTACTATTCGTGAAACGGAATAGAGAAATGCGATTAGGCAAATACCTGAAGGACCCTGTGCTGAAGTTCTAACAATGTTCGCCGGTGTTCTTTCACCCTGGCTTGTATCGCCGTGTGCTGTCTCTGCAATCTTTGTATCTCCTCAGCCGCCATGTCCAAAAAACTTCGATACCTCGAAGTTTCCTCCTCTTGGCATTTAAGTCGGTGCTTAACTTGTTGAAAACCTATCATCGGCACTGGTATGTACAGCTCTGGATTCGGATTATCGAGCTGAGCCTGTTTCCACAATCGTGGATCGATCGAACAAGGCGGGTTGTCCAAGTACTCCTTGAGCTGCGCAGGCTCCAGCTTGACCAAAGCCAACATATCTTCGACACCGTTTTGGACCAATTGTTGTTTCTGCATCGGCTGGGACAAGTAAGCGACCAACTCGTTGGCAGGAATTCTTCTCGGAGCTCCGGTAATTCCTTTCTCGGTAACGAAAATCGTTACTTGACTCTTCTCTTCTCCGGTTTCTGTCACGTTGTCTATCGTGAGCGTTAAGTTAGGCTTGTTCCCCAAAACGTTGTTTATAAAGCCGATCAGCTGTGCTTCGCCCTCCTTCACGTCCTTCTTTTTCTTGTTGAAACAAAGAACGACCAATCCATCGTTATTGTCGGCTTCAGGCATCCGACTGTACCCGATAGCTTTGAATCTACAGAGTGGATTCTCTTGATTAAGTTCGATGGCTGGCGCGTTCATCGAGTAATACGCCTTCCCTGTGCCCCACAGAGCTTGTATCAGATTCCACTTGGCAATGATATTATCGCGTTCGTCGTTGTACAATTGACAATTGAACACGGCATTGTATAACGCTTCGGATAAGGTATTTACTGCCTGCTGCTGTTGCGGAGGCTGTTGCTGCTGAAACGGTTGCTGCGGTTGCGTTAAACCAGTGCCAAAGCCTGCGAATCCTGTGCCTGCGCGTTTCAATTGCAAATAGTAGTACGTACGTAAACGCGATGTGCGCGAGCGAAGAAAGAATCGTAGCGTTTAGCTTAGTTATACTACCAACCGGTACCGAAACCGCCAAATCCGGTGCTCGTAGTCGTAGTCGTCGGCTTCGCTCCGAAAGCACCGAAACCGGTAGATCCCGTACCGAACGCAGGAGTCGTACTCGCGGTACCGAATCCTCCGAAAAACGAGGGTGCCGACGTGGTCGTAGCAGTCGATCCGAATCCGCTAAAACCACCAAATCCTAACGAAGACGTCGTAGTCGTAGTTCCGAACCCGCCGAACCCACCGGTTGTGGACGTCGGCGCGCTGCCGAAAGTCGACGTATTCCCGAACGCAGTGCCCGATGAAGCAGGCGTGCTACCGAACGCTGGTGTAGTTCCGAACCCGGTCGTGGGATTGGTACCGAACGTTGCTGCGGATCCGAAGCCGCTCGCCGGCGCGGTACCGAAACCAGTACCACCCGCCGGTGTCCCAAAGCCGGTACCGGTTCCGAATCCTCCTGTCGCTGGAGTCGCAGGCGAACCAAATAGACTCGGTGCCGAAGTGGTCGCCGGTGTGCTAAATCCGAAAGACGGTGTTCCGAATCCTGTTGATCAATACGTTTTGTATGATAGAAGACGAGAAGTATACAATTGTCGCAAAGATTCTTCCGTTTTTATCTTTGCATCGTAAATCTAAGTAGCTTGAGTGGAATTCGCAAGTTTCGTACATACGTAGTGTAGTATGTACCTGCCGAAGTGTATGTAGATACTTATTTACCGGTTTTTGTTTTCACTTTTCAACGATGTGAATCTCGTTCGAGCAGAGGAAAAGTAATAAACGTCAGAAACGTCTCGCGTACGGTCGCGATAACGATTCGCGTTTCACGTATTCGTTTACAGTTTACAGGTCGATTACGTCGATAACGCAAATAAATTTGCGTACAATCGAAAACGCAACAAATTTTAGATCGCCAATTTATTTAGCCAAAGAAGAATCTCGAATCATGCCTATCCTGTCCGGTAATGAACACGATCAGGTGATATCGATGTTACATGATATGAATCTACTCCGATAAAGATGTAAGCGTTAAAACTGAGTATAGGCGTTGAAAATTGAATAGGACGATAAATACGGAGAGCTGGCCCGTAAATTAGTGAAAATAGCTTCGATGTCTGGCAAGAAAGTGGTACTGCGTCGTAATGGTCACTCGGATTCCGAGGGTAATACCGAATTCTTAAACGAAATAGGTACTACAGATGCGGCGATCGGGGTACTTTCGTTATTACAGTCAACAGATACGTTTTACACGACGCGTTTTTACTGTAAGCAAACAATAATACATTTTATCGATGTAGGATGTTACAGCAGAAGTTATGATAACGACGTTGGGCAAAATACCGAGCGAAATGTTTTATTTAGAAGATACTGTTAGCAGCGCGACCATTAAAACGACGAAAAAGTTGGCGGGTGCTATAGAAGCAACGGAATCTTATCAAACGACTACCGCTAACTATGAAAATTCGAGCCATTCGCCGGTCTTGATCGCTTTAGTAACTGCTCTGTTCGTGATATTATTATTATGCTGTATCACCGCGTGTTTCGTAGCTAAATCGAAGAGGAAGAATAATTTCTTCGGGAAGGGGGATATGGAATGCGAACCTGGATGTACCGGCATGAGTCAGCCTTTACTGAACAAAATGTCAAGCACTACGAATAAAACGAGCATCGGTTCTTTGAGAAATTAAAATCAAACCTGTGATAATCTACGATCATTGTTTATCAGCTAAAAAGACGTCGAATTGTATTGATACGAACGTCCATCATTCATAACATATGAACATATGAACATACACGCATGCTAGCAATGCGATACATTCAAGCCAGTTACACGCATGTACTGCGCGCTAAAAATTGGGACAGTCTTTAAATTTCTATTATCACGATTATATCAAATTTAAGATCTACGACAAGTATGGGAAACGATTTCCTTGTAGACCCGGTCGAAATGAATCGTGTAAACCTACGTGTACGTTGTACGTAATCACGAGCAGTCAGAAATGCGACTTAACCTCAAAACTGAAAGACTTACCCGGTTTCACTGGTGTAGCCGTGGTGGAGGCCGTAGAACCGAAGCTAAAAGCGGGAGCGGGTGTTGAAGTTGTCGTACCGAAACCCGTGCCAAACGACATTTTTGCAATTAAACGAAATTTCACGTAACACAGAAATACTGATTTATCGCGCGCGCGTACCGAACCCCGCAGTACTACAATCTAGAATACAATACAAGCCCGCCAGTATACCATTCATTGGCGGTATGCGAGCGCCACATGTCTCGAATTTAAATTGCCGTCTCCTACTATATTACCTTTGGTTTGATTTTCTTATCACGTCCCTTTTATCAGGTACTCATTGTATCTCGTGGGTACATACAATACCGAAATTCTGTCTTTAGATCGATTCTTTTTATTATACTTCTCTTTTTAGGTTGAAAGAGTATACAATACCGATATTTCTCTTTCATGCTTCAGGTATTTTCAAAGATTTTGCCTGGGTCACTCTGTCGCTTCATGCAAAATTTCCCGCTTCTCTCTTACAATTAAGTACAATTATAAATCGGTGTTATTATTTCGCTCTTGAACCAATTTTTTAAAGTACCCACATAAGTACTTACAGGGAACACCGGTTGCCCTGTTACAGACTCTTATCCCTCGATAAGCGCAGGGTTCATTCAATAACATATACGGTATCAGAATTTTCAACGAATTTTATAATTTAAAAACTTGAAAATAAATATATCTTCACAATTTTTTCTAACATACATATACATATACAATACTTTCTTTAACAGTTTGATAAGACTATAATATATGCATCGATATATTGTTAGTTACGATAATATTGTTAATGTCGTCAAAGAGCGTGGTTTGCGCGACAGTCCGATCGAGCGAGGAGTTGTAAATAAAATGTTCATTTGCGCGCGAACGATCGTAACTAAAAATCATTTTGATTGTTCAATGGAAATGTTGATTAAATTTGTCGTTAAATAACAACAGCGACGCGACGCAGTTTGATAAAATTGAGATGCACATACGACAAAACTCGTGTTTCGCGAATCAGCCGGCCTGTGTTTTACACGAATAAGTCACCCTGCGATAAAAACCGTTGAAACACGAGTCAGATCGAATCGCGTTGTCTTCTTTCGACGATGCAGAGGTACAAGTTTGTGCCACTTAACTCAAAAATAATTCCCAGACATGTGTATATGCGATATACATAGATAGATCCCCTTTAGAATACATACGCGTAAGTTGCCGTTGTAACATGTACATACTATCCCTAGAGTTTAAACGATGCGAATGGTAACATTTCGTGAACGTCTTAGCGATCCCCTTTTAAGTACATAGCATTCGTCTATATCGTTTCTAAAAGGAAAGAGGAATGCGAACTCGCTTAAAATATATTTCCCATGGTCTTACACCGTTGCATAGCGATCTATAGAACGATGGTCAACAGACACGAGAGATCGCTGATTTCCTGCATAATAAGATCTCCATGGAACGCGCAACGTTGTTCGCAACGAGATTGAAAACACGATCTCTGATTTCTTCTCGGTTTTTGAAAACGAGGAGACAAGTTACAGATTAGATTTCCATGGGGATTACGCGCGTGTTGTTTAAACGCCGATTTTCGAAGAGAAAGAAGGAGAGAGCTTCCGCCCGTTCGTAAATGTACGTTACATATTGCTTTCGTCATCCTAATCGACGGGATTCCAGCGTTCAGCCAATCTGGTCCGTTTCTAGAAAGAAGAATTGAAAAAGGATAATCTCTCGGATATCGCATAGCGTAGACATTTGTTTGCCCATTCATAAATAATAATTGACAAACCGACTAGAAAGTCGGAGCGCGTGTCAGATTTATATGTACATGTTTGTAAATCAGTCGCAAACAATCGGAGTGTACGTAAGCTGGGAAACGAGTAGATAAATAAGCGAGCGAGCGGATACGTATGTACATATGTACGCGTCGATCCACCTCATCAAGACTCCCAAATTATTTATGAATGGCGCAATATCTGAAGCGTTTAAATCTCGTTAGCACGTTTGCGATACGATAAATGCGATGCACACGCTTTGCATCTCGCGATTACCTGCCAATCGCCAATTTCGCGTGCCATGCATCGTCATCGTTCCGTACAATTTGGGAGCAAACTTCATGAGGTTCACACATCGATTCGCTGTTTCGGAAACGGCCAGGTTATCGTCTAACGAGATTTAACCGCAAGCGCTGAAAATCATGCGTAAACGATGTAAAAGAAATTTAGGCCTTGGACGAACGAACTCAATGCGGTACATAGATTTCGCTCCGCGATCTTAAGTCACTTCGGTGACACGTTTAACGTTTGCGTCGATCCTAACGCTAATGGACGCTTTTCGCCGTTTCTCTCCCGTTTAGTCCGTTCTTTTTTTTTGGTTTACTTGGACCCGTAAGAACCGTGCGGTAAGAAATTCGTTTTCCGATAAACGAAGCAATTCCATAGTTTGCTGATATAAAATGTACGACGGTAGATAGAATATTTTCAATTTACAAAAATGGTTTTTGGTCCACGACGCGCGGTCCTTCGATAAAACTTCTCCGTACAAACGTCTATTCGTATAGTGTAAATAATTTAGGTACACGTGTTTAAAAAAATGCTGTCGTATATAATGGGAGATGGGTATTGCACGCATTGCTAACCGTACGATAGGGATAGATATCTTCGAAATAACGAAAAAGTCGTTGTAAACGAGATCGACGCGCGACACGCGTAGGCCAAAACTTTTTTTCATCCGTGTCCCGCGGATTCGTTCAACGTTGGCAACGCCACGTTGTTGTGTACCAGTCGCATTATATCGGTCTCAATCGATTTCCTTTATACATACGCAGACGTGAGCATTTACTTTATGCTCGGTACGTTACATACATATTCAACATTTATACGTTTAAATAAATTTGACGAGTACATGAGTGCGCGCAGCGCACCGTTTTCGTATTCGTTTAGCCTTTTAACTTTCGGCCTTAATTTGATACTATTCTAGGTGTACAAGTTCGGTGCAGTGTTTTGCCCTTATCGTTAGCTTGAAGCGGTCGATCGTAAACGCGACCGACGTCGCGCGTACGCGTGGTACACCGCAAAAATATTAAGCACATATGCTGTCTCTAAAACTCGAGTCGAAAGCAAATCTCGTCAAGAGAATAAAAAAAAAAGCGATAGGTAAAGCTTGATCCGTTCCATTTCAGGTCACTTTCTTAAATTCGTTGATATTATCAGCTGTTCGTCGAGCGGAAAGAGATCGAGGGATCGTAAAATCTACAGATAGGATCCCGAGAACTCAAAGTCGGAAGCAGAAGCTCTAGATGATTGCGTATAAACAGAAATACCCGCACCGATCGCGCTGTCCGAGGTTCCCTCGCCGGTCACGTAATCCGCGACTATCAACGAGTCTTTCGGAACGTTCCCGCCGCTGCCACCCTTGGACACGTCGCGTTCGCTCAACATCTGCTTCAAGACTCTGATCTTCTCTTCTTTCTGGAATCAAGACGGAAGAAAACAGAAAAATGAAACCCAGCTAGGAGACAAACTTCTATCCACGCGGTTCACTTACGACGGCGATCAACTTCTGAAGCTCGTCGTTCTCGCGAAGAAGCTTCTGATATTTCTCCTCGTCCTCCTTCGACATTCCCACGTCGGGATTGTATTTGGATTCGGCCTTGTCCTTCGGGTGTCGTATCACCTCGATCACTTTGGGCACGAAGATCAGGGCCATGCTCAGAAAACAGCAGAAGATAATCGCGAGAGCAACGAAAGCGAAACTGGCGTCTTGCTGGCTGGCGATCACCATCGTCACGGGTGCCGTAATCAAACAAAGTACGACCACGTTGTAGATCGACATTCCGACATATCTGGAATCGTTGATCTGCTTCATCTTCATGCTCCGTGTTTCGTATGCCAAGAATAATCCGAAAACCAGGATGATTCCCTTGTAGCTATAGATCAAGCCTGTAAAACAACAACGAGATTCGTCATCTGTTGTAGAGTGAAAAATCGTAAGTCGTGTAAGAGGTAACACCTTGTATATTTTTAAATAAAAAATGTTTGACTTCGTTTACCGAGCCAAACGCTGTTGTGAACGCTCTCGCAGTGTTCCAACTCGGGCCGAATCCTCGCGTCGTCGTCGCCGAACGGTGGCGATTCCAGCGGGAAGGTCTCCATCTTTCTCTGCAGAGGATCGAGGACCTGCCAGCAAACTAGCAGAACGATGTCCACCGTCAATAGTCCGCTAATCATCGTGTACAGCTTCCACGGCTGAATTCTCTTCTGTATGGACGAAACTTTTTGTTTAGCCATGAACAACTAAAAAGAATCGAATCGAGACGATACGTTAAAGTCGAGGATCGTACGAGCAGGATCCGCGAACCATGCAGGGACGGGGCAGTGTGCGCGCGAGGCCGAGAACAAGCTGGAAACATAGGACGAATTAGGTTTAGACTCGATCTATAAAGGGGCTGAGGGCTCTATGCGACCGAGTCTGCGACAACGAGGAGCGATGCTCTAAACCCTAAACTGTCGAGTCTAGGTCTCGCTGGGAACGATTCCGATTCTTGGCTTACCGCTCGCTCGGTGTACTTACTTTCGCCTGATCGGCTTTCGTTTTCGTCGTCAATCTGTGGACTCGCCAAACCTTGCTAAACATCGCGCCGAACGCTAGAGTGAACCCGGTCGCCAGCATCCAAGCTCTGGCTCGACAGACCGCAGGGTACTCCCATGGCGCAACGAATCTCCCGTCGATTCCCAACAGGAACACCGACACGAAACACGCGATCACTCCCACCAGCATTATGGTGTTGCATACCGGATGCGACGACAATATGACTCTAAGACGATAAAACATTCGTCGGTCACATCCAATCCGAAAAAAAAGAAATTCACGGTGCGAGCGATCACTCATTCCGTACCTACCGTCTATGTCTGTTCCAAATGTTAAAAATGATCAACGCGATGGCTATCACGATTCCCACCGAAGATATGACGCCCATGCAAATGAAGAGGGGCAGCGAGACGGTCCTTAACACGGTTCTGACGAGGGTTCTATCCTGAGGCACTTTGCCACCGATCCAGCGTTCCATGTTCCTCCAGGTCAAATTGTCGCTCTGAGTATCGTAGTATCCCAACTTGACATACTTTCCATCGATCACCTGTTCGATTTGCGTCAACGCAATTCTATCGCCTTGCGAGCTGAAGGCGACGTATCCCTGCAATCGGACGCAAACTCGTGGAAACGATGACGTTCTCTTACTGATTCGACGATTCGTAACGACGATTGACGCGAGAACGATCGCAACTTACGGATACTCCGAGGAACTGGGTCGAGTTGACCGCGGAGTAAATCTCGCCCGCGATTTCCTTGTCGGTGTACGTGAAATTTTTCAGGCTTTTTCCTTGCTTGCTCAGTTTCTCCATCGTTTTGTTGAACGCTACGATCAAGACGAGGAACAGAATCAGTAGAGTATCCAGTAGATATTTTGTCTTTGCTAAACTAGAACTATGTCAGATGGTTCGTACCTAATGCCACGGACCAGACCGCGTCGTAAGCTAGAGGTGCCTCTTGGTAACCTTCGGGATATCGATTGTTGTCGATGTCGTACCCATCTTCCTTCAACATCGTATTCAGTCTCTGCCTAAAATCTTCGGAGGTCATCCCGCTGATCGTCGTGTCGTTGTTCTGATTCCACATTAGAGCCTCAGTGGTGAGATGTCCCTCTGCCGCGAGCCTCATCTGTTCCTCCGTGCACGCTATTCCTTCCTTGTCCAGATTCACCTCGAACCAATTGTCCTCATACCAGCCGATGAAGAACCACACGTAGCTCTTGCCGTACAGGTTCTGCTGGTAGAGCTCACATAAAACTCTCCTCGCAGCGACGACGTAGAAGAGACCGACGATGATCCTGGCATCCTGCCGACGTAAATTCCTTACCGCGTCGGTCGGATCCGATAAAAAACTTTGACGAGTGACTATTTCTATGCCCGCTTCCTTGCAGCGCGCCTCCAAATCCTCTACAGTCTGCCGATAAATATAGATAAACAATTAGAAGATCAAGAAGAAGAAAAATCGTCGATAGGTCTTACAGATATGAACACTTCTTCCGCTTGCTGCAATATCGCTACTCGAGACCAGCCAAATTTTTGCAACAATTTGATTCTCGTAGGATTGTGCACAGTGGCCGATGGATGCGTTCTGAAGAGCGTCGGGAACCGATTTCGATCAGATAGCGCGGGTGATGATGCCCCATAACATAACTGAAAGTTTCATTCGTCTCAGCTTTCTATTCATATAGCCGCTCTTTTGTACACGCAACCGTCGCGAATCAGCGTTATTCGACATTCTACTCACCACTATTAGGTTCCACATCTTTGCTGCCTCGGCGACGGTTGTACACACGGTACTACATCCTGCTAACAACATCAATTTGTGCGGTTTGTAATACAATAACTTGTACATCACCGTGGCACCGAGTCCTGGCTCGCACTGTTCGAAAACGATGCAAGGAATTAACAATCAAGAACGCGCTTGAGTGTTCCGTCAAACGTAAACGTACCTCACTGTCGTTTGAGTGAAGTTTAAGCGTGAATCCAGGTAACAGATTTTCCTTGTGATTAACATCGTCTAATGCCAAGTTGACGGCAGGCATGCAAGCCTGTAAATCGAGAAAAATGCGTAAGATATACGCGTACACATCGGACGATCGAAGGAGGGATGAAAATTATCGCTCACCTGGCCACCTTGCCATCCACCCTCTCCGGCTATCGGGAAAATGCCACCAATGTGCAACACGTTGTCATCGTCGTCGGGTGGTAACGAACTCCCAATCCCGTTTATCGCCAGCGTCGCGAATATCAACAGCTCTATCATCTCGCGCGAAATTCCGTTCGTAAACGAACGATGACTCGAACTTTCGACTTTTTACGCGTCCCTACGACACAGCTCGCGCGATGAGTAGCGCACTTTCTTCGAGCTTACGGCAAATCACAGCCATTCCCGACAATAACTACCGCTCATGATCGTCAGATCGCTACGCGAATAAGGAAATCACTATCTCGAGGTACGTTTGTCCAGTCAGATCCTTTGACCCGGTTCCAAGGACTACGAAATACAGCTTCGGCAACACCCGAGGCTTTAATTATCGTCGGGTGCATCAAAACTGTATCGTCGCGTACGCCATCGTCGACGCACCTTCCTCCGTCGAAATTTCACCCGCGAACGAATTCACCCGAGACAGGGAGTTCGCGCGAGCTTTTCAACTTATTGATCTCATCCCGGTTTCGAAGGATCGTAGTGGGGATAGAGCGTGACTATTCGCGTTCCAGCTTTCTATTTACCAGAAAATCGATAAGCGCTTATATATATAAATGATTCAAGTTTACTCGAGTTTTCACCTTGAGCGGATGATCTTTTTACGAGGGAGATTTCAATTCGAAATCGACTTGATCTTAGAATCGACGTCGATCCTTGCTCGGATCGAGGTCAGTCGCGACGAACGCGGATTCGAAATTTGTACTTCATTCGTTCGGTCGATAAAATCGTATCTCGTGTATTGTCTGTATGTACCGCTCGTTGCCACATCGTATTGCACGGTGCTACTACCTATGTAGCACTTGTAGCAGCGCATGTTACCAAGTTCGATACGATAGGTGACAATAACTCGTAGCCTTGGAGTCCGTAAGAGTTTAAGCCGTTAAGAAAAGGAAATTAAATTAAGAAACATTCTCTGTTTGTCTAAAAGCCTGTTTATTTACATTTAATTAAAAGTCTTACTGCTTACATTAGACTTATCGTTAGACTTTATATTCTATTCGCTTTCTACGCTCCACACTTGATTTCCTATCCACAGGACAAGGGGTAGCGAGACACGGCTAAATTCACGGCCAGCAAATTGTAACATCCGTAACGTTCAGTCGCTAAATCAGTGATAAGTTCTAAAACGTCTCATCATTTTCTCCAGCAATTCCATCGCGAATCTTCGTATGCTCCAATAGCAATGTCGACACCGGACACCGGAAGCGAGTTATTTCGCGAATCAGCCAAGACTATCTCGCGTAGCTACATATACATAGATCAGATGCGGATCAGTGTGCCGTTAGTTAGCATCTACGCAAATGTTTCGGACAACGTTTCCATTGCGCGGGACTCAGACTCGTCGCTCGTCTATCGTTACAGAACAAGAGACAACCAGCCGACGATGTGACCATTTTACATTTTAGGTTTCGGGTCATCGTTCTGATTTTCATTCGGTCGAATGCGTCTTCTGTCTTGAGTACCTATCTCGAACCGCGCGGCGCGTCGTATCATCCGCCGGATGCGTTTCCCTTTTGTTTAAATTCGGAACTATGAACGTGAACGCGCACGTCATTTTTTCACCGGCTTATAAAGATAAGTGGAACAAGGACAAAGTGTACTCGGATACGACCCTTGCGCTGTGTCGAATTGATTAACATACACACGTGTCGCAGTTATCAAACCGAAAGCGGAAAGCGCTATTGAAATAACGGACTCTGGAAATGCGGGTGTAAATTTACAACTAGAACGAACTCACCCCTCGAATAATGGGAAGGTACCCTTACTCGTTTTATACTTGTCGCTTTTCGGAATCTAAATTTTATCGATTTTAGATCTCAACGTGCGTTGATGTATTTAGTAGTGTGTAGATAACCCTCGCGAAGAGATAACGAGACGAGTGGAAGAGGGATGCATACCGCGCGTGTACGACGGGGCGGAGAGCGAGGAGCGTGGAGGGAGCGCGTTCGGTCGAAAGCGTGACGTCGTCGAGGTGACGGTAAAAAGAAACGGTGCTATCTGCAAAGGAGGGTGAAAAGAGAGGAGAGAAAAGAGAGCGTTTGATCCGTAGCGGTCCGAGAGGGGGCTAGTGCTGGTCGCCTGCTGGTGCATAGCGTAACGCACGGCATATAGAAGCCGGAGACGGGAGCGAGAGAGAGAGAGAGAGAGAGGCGATATCTCTGCATGTGTGGTGCGTGGCGTATGATGCGACTGGCTGGCGGCTGGAACGTCGAGACAGTCGCGAGTCGTGGTAGTGCTCGTACAGTAGGTACGTAACGTATGTACGCGCTATGGCTATGGCAGAAGGCAGGAGATAGCGGCAGTGGCAGGCAGGCAGGACAGTAGAAGTAGAAGCTGGTAGAAGCAGGAGTGGCGAGTGAACGAACGAGCGAGGACGAGAAAGGCCGTGCTCTCGGCTTTCGTATACGAGTCGAAACGTGGTCGTTGGCGAGTGCGCGAGTGAGAGTGCACGGTCTCAAAACCGTATGCCGTGTACCGTGCGCGCAAAGTGTGGCCGCACTTTCGATTTTCGGCGAACGACTGGTCTTCGCTGGGTTGGACGTCCGCCCCGAAAAGCGGACACCGATATCGACGAAATTACGCACGTGATATACGTGGTCTTGCACCATCCGACGAAGCGACAGACGGGCCACGAAAGATTGTACGTCAAGTCGCCGCGGATCTCGTCGTCTCGCATTCGGAGTTCGTACGGGGTGTGCGCGAATGCGTGTGCGTCGGACAGGTGGCTTCGATTTTCTCCCGATTATCCTGCATTCGAAATTCAACTAGGCGCTACAGGCTGTAGAACGAGCTCGAAACCGGTTACCAGTCGCAACGGCCGTCGCGGTGGCACGCGAACCGTATAAATCGCGGACGGTGTCGGATTCTCGGGGAGGAAAGTCGAAACGCGTGTGCTGTCAGTGTCAACCTCGCGCTTGCGATCGCGTGAACGCGCGTGTATACGTCGAGGTCGGTGACGGGTGGAGAGATCGACCGTCGGCGGGCGTATGTACGTGTAGATGGTCGTGAGTCGGTACGGGAATCGGCGGTCGGCAGGATGAATATCGAGCGTGGCGCGTGAGAGAAGGAAGGTCGTCGAAGTTGCGGACACGGGAGTGCAGCGAGAGGGAGCGAGGGAGCAGCAGCCGTGGACTCGGAGCAGCAACGAGGGTCGGGCGCGCGCTTGCGAACGCACCCATCGCGCGTCCAACATGGCTACCGCTAGCAACGCGACAACGAGCGCCGGCGAGGCGGCCGGCAACAACGTGCCACAGTGGAAGAGGGACTTGATTCAGCGTCGCAGGCAGCAAAGTAAAGTTCTCGCAACCGGCGGCAGTGGTAACGGTAACGGTAGTGGTGGAAACGGTATTGCTAACGCGAACGCTGTATCTTCCTCCGGATTTTTCTCAAGAGGACCGGCCTGTGGCGCCATCGTCCCGACCGGAGCGAGCGTCGCTGTCGCTGGTACCGACGACGGCTCGACAGTCGCGTGCAACATGCGCCTCGAGGCGGATTTCTCCTCGTTCTGTTCCGACTCGGAGGATGTTACGAACGGTACCTCAAGCAAATCGTCGACGTTGGACATGGAGCGGAAATCGGAAGAGCGCGGCGACGAACCGGAGACCGACGTCGATCCGGCGCCGGTCGGTTGCGAGGAGCGCGTCGGGTGTGGGAGGAGCAGAAGCAGAACGAAGAGAGAGCTTCCGACGGGGAAGTTCAATATGAAAAGCGGCAATTCGACGAGAGAGGAAACGAGGACGATGAGGAACAAAATCGTGGCTGGCAACGATAACAACGACGACGAGGATAATGACGACAACGATGTGGCCAGCGAGGAAAGCGATAGTTCGGAGGAATTGCAGTACGGTCCGGGAATAGTGAACAAGCTGAAGAGCAAGTATCTCAATCTCGCTCTCAAAGAAATGAACAAAAGCCGCGTCTCCGTACAGCGGTTTCGTCGCGCGGCGAGTCTCGAAGATCTTCTCGATTGCGACGACGAGCCTGGTGAGAAAAATCGGAGAAAGTATACGAAGAGAGCTACGGGCAACGCGATCGGCAGCGGCGGTAGCACGGTGGTCGTTAAAACCGACAGGTACAGGAACGTTTCTCGAGGCAACGAATCGATGAAACGGGCGCGAAGCGTTGAAACGTTGCTACGATACAACGGTACCGTAGATGAAACGACAGGTCGCGCGGTTTCTAGTGTCGGTTCCAGGCGAGATTCTATGATCAACGATCACATCGTTTTGATCGATCGCACCACGGTGAAAATCGAGAGTCGATTGGGAGAGTCGGAGAGGCCCAAACCGGTAAACAAACCGAAAAGAATCAAACCGTTGTTGGCGGAAACGGAGAGACCGCCGCCGGATCTAGTCAAGACCACTATGAGAATCTTCGAGGGATCCGCGAGGAAATTGAAGCCGAAGGGCGAGGTAGCTGCGAAGGTGGCCACTTTCAAAACCATTAACGACACGTTCAAAGCTCAAGCACAAAAGAAGCTGATTCCAAAACCGCCGATTCAACCTAAACCGTTCGTAAATGGAAACACCAGCGGGCCGATCCGGAGCGGCTCGGTCGGATCCGTCTCGCCGAAAAAGATCGTGCTGCCGCAAAAACCTACAGCCGAATTGATCGAGACCCGGGAGGGTCAGCGGGAATACCACATCGACGGCGTGATCACGGATCCCATAGCGCAGTCGGTGTCATCGGTGGTTAGCAAGTTTCGACAGATAGAAAAGTCGCACTCTTCTCCGTCCCCGTCGCCCGAACCATCCTTCAAATTGAGATTCTCGCCTGCACCCAGTCCCGAGCCTCTGACTCAACAACCGTGCAAGTCGAGATCATCATCTCTTGAGATCAGCGTTAAGTCGCCGCCTGTCACGCCCGTCCTCTCGCCCAGAATTTCCTCACCCAGACTGCAAAGCCCGTCATCGCCAATCAAGGATGTGCTCGGACAAACTTCGCCGCGAGTTCGAAGTCCCACGTCCCCGATCAAGGAACCCTTCAGACGGAATACCAGTAGTCCGATTCGCAAACTACCGCCAAGTCCCAGCAGGACAGAGATACTCGGACAGCAACAGACGTCCGCGTCGGAAACGGGAAAGTTACCGTCGCCGACAGTGCGACCGCAGACGGAACACAGCGCGAACGTTTCCGACGCGGATGTGACGGAACAACAGCGGTCGCCCGACAGATTACGGAGCGGTTTCGTGGAACGAGAGGTGCTCGAGGAGAATTCGGCGCACAACGAGGATGAGGACGTTGAGGAGATCGATGCTCCGAGAACGATATCGAAGGCTGCATTGGAGAACATCGCGAGAACCGGAGTAACGATGCAGTTCAGCTTCAGCGATAAGCCCATCTCCGACAAAAGTTACTTGCCAGGATTCAAGCAGAACGGCCGGATCGAGTGCCGAGAGAAAATCGAACAGAAAGAACGAACGGACGAGCCTGAGTCAGATGATCGAATCGAAACTGAATCGTCGTCGTTGCCGGTAGAGTTGTCCAGGGGCAAGTCGTTTTTATCCGGAGATTCTGCGAACGAATCGGACGTAACGGTGATCGGCACCGATCGGGAATCGGTTTGCAGACTGCAGGAGAGATTAGAAGCAGACACGTTCGACGAGAAGATCGAGAAAGACCGGGGGAAGGAGGAAGCAACACCGAACAGAGACGCGAGAACGAACGAGAAGAGCAGTGTGAAACCTATAGGTGCTATTTGCAGTCTGGGTCTGATCAAATCTTCGACGACCACTTCGTATTCTCAAGGGAACGAGTCTAAGACGATAAGATGCCAAAAGACCGAGTCTCCTCCGCAGAAACAGATCGGAATAATAAGGCCGCTGGTGTCTACGAAGACCCAGCATGCCCAGCAGAATTTAAGCAATCGAGAATTGGAAAAGAATCTGATCAATCGCGTGAAGAGCATAGAGCAGCCGACGAAGGTAGTGGTCAGCTTGAAGAGTGCCGATGAGATCCAACCAGCGAAAAAGTCGAGCTCAGCCGGCGCCGGACTCTGGGAAGCGAAGCCGTGGAACCAGCAGAACAACACTATGGTGTTTAATTTCAGTAACCGGAAGGACGTGCCCGATTACATTGAAAACGACGGACTCATCGTTAAGAAGAAGCGAGAGAAGCCAAAGGTGAGTCATCGTTAATTGATAATAACTCATACACGTTTGAGAATACTTTCGTTTCGTTCTTCACGCCAAAAACGGGGCTACGAGAAGAGAAGCTGGGGACGCGAATCGTAAAACTATGTAATTCAGTTCAACCTTATCTGTGGCAGATCGCATACTTTCTTTTCTTGCGTACGCATCATGCATCAGTCGAACGTTTCGCTTTCTTTAAATACCGATTGCCTATCGTCCAACGCATCGGATAAGTTTCGCGCGCCGCCCATAGAATTTCAATTAGCTCGAAGCACTCGTAGCTCAGTCCACGCGCGAAGCCCCGTTCGTACCCGGAACAATTAGATTAGGCGCCAAGTATTGAGCCAGGACGTGGAACCGGAAACTGGTAAATACCCACACGGAGTCAGTACGATCATCGTTATCGTTTTAATTCTTTAATTCCGATACGAGTATTATACTTCGTACAAGCACGATTAATTTCGAAGGTGTTTCATCTTGATCGAACGATTCTTCTGGTCCCATGTTAGGTATCGTCTATCAGTCTCGGGTTCGGCGAATGATAACGTTTTGCGCAACACGATGCAAACCGTGTAATTTAATCGACGACACGTAGCTCGTAATATAACACAATCGAAGTTACACCGATTCACACAACTCCTATTACTTCGTACGCCAAACGACGGTACTATATCATACATCGATTTGTAATTAAAATGGAAATTAATAGTCCTTGGATCGCGTGATAAGCGCGATTCGAAGAGCCGTGCGTTCCCCAGATAGCAATATCCAAGTATTCAGCTACGAAATTAATCGAACCGTCGAATCATGAGCGCCGATGGATCGAAACGCATCGACCTATTTTCGAGAAGAAAGAAGAAAGCGAAACGGAAAGAAAGATTTCGATCGTGGCCAATGCTCGCAACCGTTGATTAACCTTGAACGAATCATTAATAGTTCCTCGAACTCGAATTCGTTCGGGAACACACGTTAGATATCTACTGTAGTCTCAAGTTCGCGATACTCATGTAAGACATACTCATCGTGTACGTGCAGATACGAATCGCTATTTTACCTGCTCTTACGAAGTTGACGCAATGGGAATAAATTATGATTAAGATTCGCATCCGCGGGAGCAATTAAAGTGAAATATAAATAAAAGAAGTGGAAAACGAAAGAGGATTGGGGAACGCGGCTCGTGGAATTTCAAGAGGTAGCCGACCGAAACGCAGCCGCGCCGCGACCGCGCATCGTAACGCAGCCGGAAAGAAATTAATCGCTGAGCGTTACTCAGCTTCGTATTACGTAGACCGAAAGTATATAATGTATGAACGCTTAATACATTGCTCGCGTAATCATAGTAATTGGTAAGAGAAAAGACTCGGGTAAAAGAATTGTCATGATAAGCGTCGAACTTGATAATACCTATTGGTAAAGTTATCGATCGTATCTTCAGCGAATCTGATATTTGCCGAGATAAGTTTTTATCTAAATATACTTTTACGTAGAATATTTTACGATCACATATTTCCTAATGTCGAAGGAAGGTGAAAGCGGAAGACTGAAACAAAAATGATATTGAATGGAATGCGCGACGTGACGATCGCATAATCGTAATCGAAAAGCGAGGGGGCGTTGATACGCTCCACTACGTTGCAAGACTAGTTCGATTCGTTTTCATCCGCGATTAATATTACTTACACGTACGCGTAAGGCGCGTGTTCGAACGTTAAAACGAGCAACGCGCGCTATCACGTATCGGTGTATCAGGTATTCGTCCTACCCGTTACTTATGCAAGGACGTTGAAACCGGAAGGGAGACGGAACAGACGCCAGAACGGTTACGGGTTCTTACGTAAGCGTCGACTCGTTGCGTTCGTTCGCTTTCCGCGTTCGTTGCTATTATCGCAAGTTCGCCATGGTATTACGGTACCAGGCACATAATATGTACGTACATAAGTGCATACCTCATCGCCCACCGACGCGACGTAACACGCCGCGCGGAAATGCGAAAAAAAAATTTATCGTTCCCTTCTCATTTTTCTATCGCAAATGCAAATCACAATGAACGTTGCGTTTAGCAATTCGCTTTACTGATCGGACAGTACCCTCGTGCTATTTTGTTCTATCTATTCACGCTGTATGTACCCAATGAAGAAAACGTAATACTTTTTAACGGCCGACGCCGCCTTTGTACGCAACGGGCGGCCGCTCCTTCGTAGGCAGTCTGCAGTCTGTCCAGGGTTAGAGCTCGGGGTATCTCGGTGACTCACGCGGTTGTGCAAGTATCGATCGGTAATTATACGTAGTCGTAAGAACGAACAGGACAGGACTCGATATTCGATACCGTCGTATGGCACAACTTTTCGAAATCGAGAAAAAAGTTCGAGTTCGAAGTTGCGTTCGGCTGATAAACGACTCGACGATGACTCGGTATCGCGGTTGGCGACATTCCACGAGATGCGGCTATGGGAATTCTCTTATACGGCCGATCGGTCGCAGATACTTCCAACTACGTACATAAATAAGTGTTACATAGGTACTGCAAGTACGCGCTAGAGAAGTTGGTCTCGCCAACCCGTTATTGCGACTCTCGAGGATCGAGTCAACCTTCTAAGGCACGCTGAACGATCGTGTCGAATGACGACAGACCGTTTCGATTTTTGGTACCTGTACGCACATGTATAGTACATACGTGCACGAGTGATACGTTGCAAATTCGTAAGAATCGACACTTCGGTCGTGTCGGCCAGCTGATATGGACAAATTCCTTAACCCCATTACCGTTTTACGCTGCCGACACGTTGCGGTAAATAAACGGTTACCAAGAGTCAGGTATCTGTCCGACGCGGTCCAAGAACCGATATCGCCTGCGCTTAATCTCGATTCGCCGTCGATCTTATAGCGCGAAGAAATTCGATGTTGAGAAAATCAATTTGCCAGTCCGTTTACTCGTCGATCGATCTCCGTCCACATTATAGATTATATACATCGCATTGTTCCTAGTCGATAAACAATCAAGAGCGATACGGCAATCGCCGTGATTGTTCTCGATTCCTATTTGCATAAACTTGTAGAGAAGAAACGAATGCGTTTCAGCATGTCCTCGCTGCCAATGCTTCTCATTCAAATCTCCGGCAATTCGCATCCGGTGTCTTTGATTCGCCTGCAAGAAAGAATCGAGAGGTCGTAAATTCGCGAATGCGGAAGGGAATTGAAACGCGACTAACGCGAGTGAAATGCGTGCGCCGCGTCGTTAACCGAAGAGACTCTCGTCTCTGCGAGGGTTCGGTTCAAGGCCCGTGTCCAACGGTGATACCCCAGTGCGCTCGGCGGAGCTCGGTACGTAGATATAACGAAAAGAAACTTCCTGTCCTGCTCCTGGGATTTTCTCAGGGAGTCAAGGACCGCGTTTCTAAGTTCATTGCCGTTCTTTCCTCCCCGCTCGCTTTTGCATTCGACCCTTTCAATCCCTCTTTCCGTCGCCCTTACGATACGATTCGCTTTTTATTCACTATTTATTCTCTCTTTAAAAGCGACGAGTGCGATCGAAGTAAACGGAGTACATCGTACATTCGTTTCTATCGTCGAAACGAAACAACGTGTTATCGTTGCAGTCTTGTTCGAAATTAATTTTTCTTCCGATCGTGACAGCACAGTCCACGAAAAACTGCAGTGATTTAATTGATAGAGAGAAGGAAAAGATTTCCTTAATGAACATGGATTTCAAAAATGCGAAACGAATTCGATAGCCATTTATGTACGATGTACGCGATTGACGAACTGCTGATACTCCAGGGTTGTCGACTTTCCCTTTTCACGCGGGTGCTGAAACGCGCCAGATTCCCGCACTTATCGTTCTCATCGCTTTTTCTGTCCAATACGTATCCAGATTTAAACAGCATAGAAATGAACGGCGCTTCCGCTTAGTTAAGCGACAAAGCGATAAATAAGTAGTAAGATGTTCACTCGACCATGAGCTCGTAAAACAAAGACGTCGCAGATACGCTTATAACGCCGAGTTAAAGTTAATTCCAAGCTACATATCGAAGTTGAACTTGCGATTAACTCGTATCGCATCGCGTAGGTAGGTAGCAGTCGTAGCTGAACGTTGAATGCACGCAATATTGCAGAGATTTTTTTTTCCAGTTCTCTCAATTTTCTGTCCTTTTTATTTGTGACGTATACTGTACATGCAAGTACATAGGTATTTACGTACTACTATATATACTATTACTTGCGTACGTAGATAAATAATACGCAGGAACGTAGATAAATAGCTTTTTCGCGGTAAAACGGGAAATATGAAATTACGATGTTCCGAGGCACGTGCTATGTACAGTGACTCCTATTAATATTCCGACACATTTCAAGACTTTTTATTAGGCACTCCACTAAAGAAGTTAGAAATCATGTAATTTTTTCTTTGAAATTCCAACGAGCAGCAATTTTCTTCAATTTTCTTTACACATTATTCATTAAATTAAACCTCCCAGCATCCTAAAGAAAATTAATTTGTTTGGTCTCATTAGAAATGTTATTTCGTTTCGAAATGTGTCCGAATATTAAATGAATGTGCTTTAATACTTCGTTCTAACGTGAAACGGTCTCGTCGTACCAAATGCATTTACGTAGTTCATACACCGTCGTACAGCTGCCTCAATTATTTTATAGACCGATCTAACACAGAAAATGCAAAATATCATCTCTCTCTAGGAACGATTAGTAAATACACTGGCATGTAATTTGCGACGTGTTTTGCAAACTCAATTGGCAGAAGTGCAACACACCTGTTTACAAATATTGTTGCAACTCTCTGAAAGCAACTCGCAGGTGAATTTAATTTGCTGGCTGCTACCTCACATGCGTTTACACTTATTGCGAGAATCGCTCTCGTAAATACTGTCGCAAGTTACTTGCTGATACATTCGTATCCTTTTAGCAGATCGTTCGGTGTCGTCGAGGCGCGTTACACGGTAACGCTAGTACGTATTCGAATTCAGATGCAACATTTACGCAGGTACATACGTATCGCGTTACACGACCCCGATCTCTGCTCGTCCGTAATGCGGCTTCGCGCGTTATGATCCGTGACCGCATTTTTCTGTCTCGGATCTCGCATCGCTCAACCCGAATTCCCTTCCCTTTCTTTTCGTTCCCTGCCTCCTCTCGAAAGTCGAGAGTGGGAAACGGGCGCGGACGGTGGGAAAAGAACGTGCCGTTGAAAATCGTCGGGAATTATCCCGACAGCTATATAGATTGTTCGAAAAATCGTTTCTTAGACGAGTGAATGAGCGATAACCGGAACTGGACCGGAGATCGAAGAGATCTAAGTTCCATTTCACGCGCGATCGTTCCGTAGGAAATACTGAAGCCGAGCGGATTCACTAGAGTGAACTCGGGTCGAAGAAATTGTTTTCGATCGGGTAATTTCTTTCGTCAGCTGTCCATAGGTTTTATCGTCTGGATTAACATTATTAACTTTATCACTTGGCTTACCGTCGTTCGAGATACGCGTACCAACGATTCCGTTCTATTCGCATCGTATTCTACATTTCGAACAAGTATTACATGTAGAGGCCGTCCGTTCGAAAGTTACGAGAGTTGAAGGACGAGAGTCTACGGCTCGAGAGCTTGGTAGAACACGTAGATGCCTGGAAGAAATCGCGTCCTTGGTCGCTTCAACATCTGTTTCTCATTCGGCAGGATGTTCATTCACGAACTAGATTATACATGCGATCAAGACGATGAAAGGGCGGCGGATGTGGACGAAACAGATGAATAACGCGCGTGCCGTCGCGTATTTATCGCGCGCCGCATTCGAAATCCAAAGAGTACGCAAATATTAAGAAGATTGGATTTCTGATTGTGAAAACTCATGGCGCAGAGCTACCTTGCATCGTCTCTTTGATAATTCAAGCGTTTTGAGGATAATTCCGATTTTTATATCCAATGCAGTTGTTCTTTTATTTTTAAACAGAACGAATTCGTTTTATACTCTTTATAATACAAGTTTTAGTTTCGTTCCTTTTGTACGCGTTGTACGTTACACACCGTTGGGTATTTCTCGGTTTGTGACGTAACGGTGACGAGAACTCGGTCGACTCGAAAGTCGAAAGTCACCTCGCTGGATTCCATCGTACTCGTCGCCTCCAAGCTCCTATTTCGAGAGTTATCCGTAACCCGATTTTTTAACGACTGCTGAATTTTTCGACAGGTTGGGGACGGTGGCATCATAGTGTTGGACGCAACATTGGATGCGTCGACGACCGACGACGTCGAGTGGGAGCTCACCGGTGGACCACCTTCGCCCTGCGACGTCTCGTTCTTCAACGATAACGTTCTCATTAATGGCCGCAGTAATCTTTCGAGGACCCCGCGAAATCACAAGGTAATTGAATAGATTCGAGCTATACTTATCGTATTTATCTTAATCCCTATAATAGTATTGCATTCTATCGCAAGCCGTATCATAAACTCGTACTATTCTAATAGATCGAAATGCTGATATATAAATTAAAAAAAACAGCTTTCAGATAAAATCTGTAAATAAGTTTGCGTCAGAGCAGAAGAATGGAATCGAACTTTATCCGATACGCGATAAGAGCGAGTGAAACTAGGAACATACAGGAATCGTCATCGATACACGCCTTGTGTTCATCCATTGATTTTATCGTTTTTCTTTTTTTATAAGTATTTCTTCGAAAGATAACGCGGTCACCTTTTCCTTCCCATGATCGATTATATTCACTCCGCGTTCGTCGAGAGTTTTGAAAACTTGGTCAATCGTACACGAATCGAAAGAACATTGAATACGATTTAGTTCCTGATTTATCATCGTCGTTCCTTCTGCAAAACGCCGTACAGTATACATATTATGCACGTTGCGTTACGGTACATGAGCGACAACCTTTAATTTAATGCAATTCGCGCATTAGATGCTACAACTACTTGTCACGGTGATATCCTATCTTCGCATGTAGTACAGAAAGCACAAACGATTCATCGAGTGGACGAGTCACGGTTGATTCTATACAACTAATAATTCGCTTGATGAACGTTTTTCTCTTTACGTCGCGTGCTTCGTTCTATCATCGTACGTAATTAAGTATGTATCTAGCTACATAGGTACATATTATCGATGACACGAAGAAACACATTTCTTTTTTAAACTTCTTTTCTCGCGAAGGTTCAACGAACGTTCTTAAATTCGCGATTAATGAATTTTCGGTTAAAAGGATGAGCAAAAGTTGAAGGGGTAGTTTGCGAACGACTACGATCTCACTGTAGATACATAGTGTGGGGAATTAGTAGTCTGATGTTCTAGTGTTTATAAAGACTAGGACATTGGGTGAATTAGAATCGTTGATTGGTTCGATAGCTCATTACAGTATAACCTTGTTTATTCGATTTGTTCAGGAAACAAGACAGTTTGGATGATCGAGTAGCTCGAATAATAGAGGTTTACCTGTGAGCTCGTATTGACGCTGACCATGAATTGATTCGAATAAACGGGGCTCTATTTTATCAGTGATCAGAGCAGCCCGACAAGTGAAAGATGTATGTATAGGTTTCGATTCCCAGTCTAACAAGAGCAATCATGTGACTCTTTCTCCTACAATAGGTACCTTAAACGCGAATCTGCTCTGCTCCGCTCTCGAACTGAGCGCGCATACGGATAATCGTTCTAAATAATTAATGCGCTATAACGTTGCACGTACATACACAGGACGACGTCGTTGATTCGTCCGCGTCGTTAATTTCACGGCCTACCTTTTCCCTTCCCCAACTAGTCGTTTGCCGTTACCAACGAGATCATTTACGAGGATACGATAGACGATATGGTGATCGACCATGGCTATCAAAGTTTCATCTTCGATATTATCATTTGTACAAGTTGCTATGTACATATCTTTATCGATTACAAAGAGTGTCTTGGGTTTTGCACGTTTCATCATTACAATTGTACAGACGTGTGCTCGTCTCTTTGCCTCGTGGGTATAGAGGATTTCGTTTTACGACCTGTTGATCTTCAAGACGCGACGCGATAAAACATTTCGGCGGAAAATTTCGCTGCGAAACAGATCGAAACAACGAATAGTCGCGGATCGTGAATAAAACGGTAGAAAGGCATAATGGACAATGGCGTACTCGGTGATCGCTCTTTCAAACCGCGCGTCGCAGCTTCGTTCGTATAGAAAACCGATATCTTCTGAATCGATTGTTCGCCGATGCGTCGCGCCGTATTTTCTCATTTCGATTTAGTTTACCTACCTACTTCGTCGCGTCCACCGACCGTGTCGAATCGATAGAAACTCCCGCCTCCGAAGAGTTTGTTGCGACCCAGCGACGGAATCCAACGGGCCGACAGGAGATTCTCCTCGGGCATAGAAACCGCGGTCGTTGTTCTCTCTCGCGACGAACGGTACGACACGACCGTTTTTCAACCGACTCAACTCCTCGGTTTGTTCGTCGTACGTCAGTTCACAGAACGTGCAGGACAATGTAAATCGTGAAATAATTCGATTCGAATTCTGTTTCAATAATCAATAAATAATTATCGTACTGTTCATTTCTACAAAAAAAGCAATCTAGGCCTATGAAAGAAGTGAAACTTTGGTATCATCTTTATAAAAATGAATGACACCTACTATCTGTGACAATGAATATCGAAGACTGATCAGGGTTTTTGAGGGAGAAATTAATTCGATGCTAGAATTTCTAACGATACGACGCTGGATAATCGGTACGAACGCGACGCGATCCTTACCGCGTAATTAGACTCAAACGAAAACGCGAACAACCTTGATCCTGTTTCAAGAAGTAGCAACCGCACACTTTTATCCGCTGAATTCATGGAACGGCTGTAACGCGAACCGGTCGCCTCGCCTCTATTTGTTGACAATCGTCAGCGATTCTGTACCCGTTGACGTTTCGATTGACGCGTCCTTGCCTGAAATCAGGTCGAGAATTTGATTTTGTCGGCCAGATCGCCGATTGCTAAATCGTTCTGTCTTGGAATGCTCCGCATTCGGCTATAATCGAATACTCGGTATGTAACTGCGTGTTCTTCTACCTCGAGGAAAAAATTTATCTTTTCGAAGGAGCTTTCGCGGTGTTATTTATTTATTTTCGGAACAAGATCCGTGTTATCTTGTGTATGTAGTCAATACGACGCGACGCATAAACGTTGACATCGCGTATCGCAGGGCGTTTTTCAATCCGATGCTTGGGACTTTAAAGACGCAACTGCGACGTCACCGCTATTACAAATAACGGATTTCCGTAACGATTCTGCCCGGTACACCGCCGGTACGAGACGAAAGACGAAGAAACGTTTCTAACGTTATCGCTTAGCAGCGCGCAACTCGACGAATACGCTAATAAATTCAAACAGTGTCAGGCCATAAATACGAGCCGGTGCATCGTAAGCTTTTGCAAACGATGTAGCCTATCTGTTGTGTACCTATGTACGTATCGTCATTGAACAACGTATGCAAACGAATCTTAAGAATGTAAACGCGTTGCTTTCGCGCAAGGTGAACGGGCATCTCTTTCGAATACTTGCTGTCGTACGTATGCGTACGAATATCTCGTGTGCGCACGTGTATTCGCGCGTACGTGGGTATTTGCCACAACGGAATAAATCTACGTACATACATACATACGTACGTTTGCTAACGGAAATGCATTCGGGGAGTACGCGAATTCGAGAACCGAAATCGAGGACGACTCGACTCGAGCCCGAAATGGCAACGGCAGCGTCGAGGAAGATCACCGGCAGTGGTGAACATAACGGATGCCTCCGCGTCTAGTTTTTACGTCGCGTAAAACGAGCTTCGCGCATCCATCGCAGAAGCGGTCGCACGGATTTGCAGCGTTCGGTCGCGAGAACGATCAATTCTTAGAGCGCGGAAGAGTCGACACCCGTACTAAATGTTACGACGTTTCTCTGCATGGCGAATGCCATTGACTAGTACTTATACTAGGGCTCGAACATGTTACGTTATCCCGAATAATGAACCACCCAACGAGCGAACGGAAAACGTAACGATATACGTGTGTACCTATCGTTAAATACGTTTGTATAAGTCCGTTCATAAATCCGTTTCCTCTTTCTATTGTCCGTCGTGATAAACGGTTTCCTCTCGCGCGAACGATAACAGCCGTATTGTTTCGTCATTGTTCGGTGTCGGTTTTGTCGAAATTAACGGAGCCTGGTTCGAGATTTCTTCCTCGATGAAATTCCTGAATTCGAACCAACCAATTTTTCATATTATACTGACTGTACCTCATCAACGAGTACGAGCTCTACGAAATATTTCGAAAAAAAGGAAAAATATATAACACAATTATCAAAATTGAAAAATAATAGAAATTTTATATTTCTTCCAGTTCCTCTAGCCGAAGTCGATTTTATAATGTAGGAGACGCGCATGCAACGTGAAAGCTTCGAAACGAACTCTATTCTTTCGAGGGTAGCTCGGTTTACCATTTTTTTCTTCGCGAAAAATCGATACCACCCTCGACCAATGCGCGAATGGGATGCTACCCTCGCGTCTCTTGAAACGATTTTACGCTCGTTGCCTGTATGTACGTACGCGAAAGACGACTTTCCATGTTCGTGCTTGCCCGCGTCAACGGTACCTACGCGTCACGCTCCGTTGCGTTCCGTTTATCGACGGTACCATTTTCGCAGAGAAGAAAGCCTGTCTTCCACGGACAACTATGTACATACGTATTTCCTTTTATCGAAACACGTGCACGAACGTCACACGTCTCTTTCGAATGGAGATTATGAAAATCTCTCGTACACCCTAAAGGAAAAAGTACACCGGTAGTTCCGAGTTTAGACTCGCTAAGATCGAGTGAACTTTCGTAAACGTTGCCGCTATTACCCGGCATTCCTACACTGGCATGGTTTTCGTCAGATGTTTGTACGCGCGTAATAGATTTTCGCAAGAATATGCCACGCGGCACAGAATTGTACGAAGCGTTGCATCTACACGCGTATAGATACGTGCTTTAATTACGTTTCCACAGTTATTTCGCAACTTTCTCGCGTTTCTTGGTTCTACGGTCGCAGAGTTTAACACTGATAGACAAAAAAGGCTACGCATCGGAAGAAAGTTAAACTGTTCATGGGTAGAATGTACATATGTAACACTATTTCGACGAAACGTTCGAATGCCTGCAAGTCCCGTGGTAGCGGAATACGTACGTACGTACGAACGCGTTAACTTGTGCTCGAAATAATCGCTGGTAAGAACTTTGTTACCGCTACAAAGAGAGATGAAACAACGATTTATTAGCACCAACGCGACGATCTAATCGCGTTACATTTCATTCGCAATAAAATTGTGCATATGTATGTACACGTGCGAACTACGAACGACCGTTCTAATTCTTTAATCGATTACAGACGAACCGTGTCCCATCACGATAACGATACGTTGTGGGTATAATTTTCCCAGTGTGAAAAACGATTTTCTCTAATTCCGTTTAGCATGGCACCTAGAATCTGAAGGAATAGCTTTCGCGTCCCAAATTCCGATACCTTGGACATTATCCATGCGATGCGAGATGAGTCAAATTCTTCCGAGACGAACAAAAATTGCTTTCTCTTTTGCCGGTGTTTCTACCGAGCATAAGCAAGAAGCGATAACTAGAATTGAGCGAAAGAGGAACAATGTCCTCGCCGTAGCCGAAAAAGCATCGAGTGTGACGAGTTACTGTTATTTTCTGTTCGCCTTCTTTCTTCCTGTCTCTCGTTTGCATGCTTGCTTGGCATCTCCCTCTCTTGTTTATCGCGTAACCGTAAGCATAATCCATCCAGTACACAATGTTCACGTATGACGCGTGCACCTTGTTCCATTATCGAGAATTTAGTCTATCTTACCCGTCGATCGTTACCGAATGGTTTTCGTTACATATTTACATGTCAGCGAAAGCATATCCGTAATCTGCCGATTGATCCGTCTTAATTCGTTAGGTACTGGGCGGACCGATTACTTTCATCGATCGAAGATAAAACGATATCGCATTGTTTGTTGTTTCAGCATCGAATTCAGTTTGACGATACGGCTACCCGAACCTTCGAATACCCGAGTGAGGCATCGATGTTGGAGGGTGAGAGCTGTACGGATGGCGAAACTTCCGGTTCCGGCGAACAATCACCTCCCATCAGCAATAAAACGTCCTCGACCGGCTGCTCGGCTGCCATGCCGACCCTTCTCGGTAATTTTCATTTTCATTAAAATTTTAATTCTTCTCGTCGAATTCCTACGCCTATTGTACACCATCTACCTACTCGTATACGCGCATCTCATTGTCAGGAGATCTGTTACCTACGATTAGCTACTGAGTATTCTCTTCCTTTCATGTTCTTTATCACCGAGATCTTAGTTTGCGCCGTCCGAGTCAGGCTGTATATTACAAATACGTTCGGCATAACTCATTAAGGGATAATGCTTGTCCCTGCAGGTGGTGGTAGTAGCGGCGGCCTAGCCAATTACACACCTAGCAAAGTGGATTTGACGTCCGAAGGATTCGAACTGGGTGTAACTAGAGCCGTGTCTTCGACCCCGTCGCCAACTTCGACCTCGACCTCGACCTCGACCTCAATCTCGACTTCGTCGCCGTCGCCTCCGCTGTTATCCTCGTCGCTGTCACCGTCACCGTCACCGACCGCCAGGAGTCGAACGGAGAACGAACCCACCGAGATAGATTACTTAAAACCAGCTCAGGATGCGGCCGCGTGGGGATCCGAAACGACCGGAGATCTCCTTTATTGACGCGGGCAGTACCACGCGTAAACTGTAAGAATCAAACGAGCATAAGGAAGATCGTTGGAGCTCGTCGAGAGAGACTAATTTCAAAAGTATTTTTCTTTCCTTTTTTTTCGGTAGCCACGAAATAAGATCGCGCACGTTGAAACATGCGTCTACCTGATGTTTGCTCATCGTTTCAAATATAAACGAGTAAAAGAAAAGCTGAAACTATTTTGTTCCGTTCACGATCGGAACACGCCTTAGTGTACGCGCGACGTACGAAATAGTTTATTCGTCATCGCGCGCGATGTACTTTTTTCCGATCGCGGTGATCGACGATCGTAAGTGAGGAAGAGAAATTGAGATGGTTCGTTTGCGGTCGCTTCGAACGGAAGAACGATCTTTTCTCGATTAAGCGAATCGCCTAACACGGTCGATAGAAAAGATAAACTGTGTCATTCCAAATGTATGCATTTATGTATCTTTTGTATTATCGCGATGATCGAAATGATTTTTTTCCATATAACGCGTAACTGAAACTGCCAAGATGAGGTCAGTGCGGTGGTTCCTTTTTTCTTTCTACTTCTTTCGATAACAGTGTGCACGGAAAACCCCGTAGAGATGGTCAATCGGAAGGGGAAAAACGAGCATATCACTTTTTTGGCACATTTTATAGCAAATGGAGAGATTACGATGATGGGACTGAAACGTTTTGTAACCCTTTTTGAGATTACATACTTTAATGCCGAACCGTTCAACGTTACGGCCGCCACGCGCCAGTCAAAGTTCAGAATTTTACGCAACATTTTAAGAAGAAAAAAATGAAAAAATTAAATCGATCGAGTGCGAAGAAGCTTGATCGAAGAAAAAAAACGTTGAACTATTCACGGTTAGATTTGTAAAAGATTTTGCTAAAGTAGAGTTTAAGTCTACTCGATATACTTAATATACGCGTATGTACAATAATATCGAGGATTTCGTCCGCGAATCGTATCGGGATGTAAATCCACAAAAATTCTTTATTTATACCGATAATACTACGTTAAATCCTAATACTAATGCTCAAGGTTCGGTCGTATTTCGATGTAGGTAGATATATGCATTTACGATATCGTTCCGTTATTCCGTTCCTTATAGTTTGGACAAGGACCAAGAAAGAGAAAAGAAAAATAAATTACTTAATTTAGATTAAAGAAAATGAATTTGTTAGCGACATACGTTATAACTTTAAGTGAATTCAAATTTGTACATATTTACCCAACTAAATTATTATCGATCTCGAAGCATCCAAATATTTGTAAGTACATACGATGCGTAACGAGTGACTTTGTGAAATTGTCGCTTCGAGATCGATCACGCCCCTTAATTTTGTTTTCGATTGTCCGTTTGCTCGTTCTTTTCGAAGATTCGATAACGAATTCGTTAATATTACGTTACATCGAATCGCGCGTAAGCGTTTGTTTTTAATTGAAGTACGATTCATTTTCGTTTAGGATTTAATTGCGTGATCGCGGACTGATTCGGGGATAAGCGTGCGATACGACGATGATGCTATGAGTTATAATTAAATATAAATAAAATGCATTTATAGATATACAAAAATGTATACCGAAGCGAAGCAACCAACAACTGTGTTCCAACGTTCGAAGCTGTATCGCTATTGTTCTGGCTGCGTCTCGCGACGCGATAAACACTAATTTTTTTTTCATGCGATCCTGTTATCGTTCGGTCCATGCTCGATGGATCTGTGTCACAGCGTTGCGTGTTGCATTCTACACTGTGATATTTTTGTTACTTTCCTTGGATAACGACATGCCGTTAATTGCTTCCGAATATTTTAAGAAACTATAACCGTGTCGACCGCTCCCTCAGTTTCTATCTATCGCGATTACACGCGACATTTTAACGCAAAGACACGCGTAACGGAGCGAACGAGATTATGAGACGAACGATACATTCCAAATTATAATTTAACGCGGTATCAGCTTTACTTCCAAAAGGATCGGTCGATCGTTTGTAAATCGATGCGGTAATCTCGATGCTCCGTTAAAGAGAAGTTTACGTCGTTTCTGTAAATTATATCGCTGTACAGAGAGAAAAAGCGTCGTCGTTCGATTAAAAGATTAAACAAAGAGAGAAATAGTATTATCATAAGATTCTTATTATTATTGTATTATTACTACTACTGTTATTATGATTACTCCGATTATTCTTATATCATTATTATTATTCGAAACTTAAACCCAATTGCATTATCGAATATAATTTACAAGTTAGAAGTATCGTGCGATGTATTGTCTGTGTGTTGAAAGAGTAATAAAATGAAACGATTATGCCCGAACAATCGGTACCGCGAAGCTTATTTTCTTTTGCAAATGTCTCATCTGGTTCTCGATCTGAACGAAGGAAGAAATTGGGACTACGTGAAAACATACGCATGTACTATCAAAACTATTCGTATTTATTTGAATACTTAAAGTAATATGTACAGTTTATCAAAGAAATAAATCGGAATCAAGACCGATTGTAATCGATGGTCCAGACAAGTGCAAAATGGTGCATAATCCGAGTCTATTTGTATATCGATGTAAAGTATTCCTCTTCCAAGTCATAGAGATCGGCAGCCATGTCATCCCGCAAGGATGCCAATTTCTGATCGCATTCGGCTTGTTTCGTCCTAAACAACTTGCTGTTCTGTGCTATCGCGTCGTTCACGGACGGAAAATCGTTGAGTATCAGGTACTGTTTTATATCTGAGACCAGCTTCATCAGGGATTCTCCCGCGCGAACTATATTCGCTGCTCTAACGTGCATCTCGTATGTATCCTGCTCGCATTGTGTCATCCGAGATAATTGCGAGTCGTTTTCTCCCTTCGCTAGTTTTATGATCTCTGCAAAACAATAAGAGGTGTTTAGATTTAAAAACTTACTCGACTTCATATTTTTTAGGTTGTGTTCGTTAAACCCGACTCGTTGACAAAATCTATTATACATATGTTAACGGTTAACAAAGAAATTAATTGCAAGCGAGGCGGCATCGGCTAGAGCTTTTGTTTCGTAGGAACAAGTTTTTCTTTCAGTAAGAAACGTAAACTCATTGATATCGTGTAACAAACGTGTACAAAGCATGGTTAGAAATCGTACCTTCGAAATTCTCCAACATCGACTTCACATCTTCTTTTAATCTTGTGGTGTAGGATTTTAATAAAGCTTCTTTGCTTTGCGGTAGTGCTCGTTGTGCTGCCATTGTTTACAACAAAACTAGTAACGCGTGCACGTGAAAACTAACCAAAATTAGAATCTACTTAGACGCTACGCAATGAGAATATGCGTGAACAAAGCGTTTTCGACTCGGTCCATCCATGACCTTTCACGAGTGCGACTACCTGTTATTCTTTGTACTTTCGTACACTTTCAAATTTTATTACTTGGCTACTATAGCTTGTTCACTGTCTACTCTCACTCTCACTATCGCACATCATCGTCTGCGTCAGTCGATACCGACTGACGTCTGTCGTTCGAAATTCAAAGTTGGTTACTTGCATCAGCTTGCATCGAATAATTTTCAGATGGTAGCACGTTCACGTTTGCTGTGTGAACTTGGCATTAGGTACTGTAGCTTGGCGCGTTTCTTCATTCTGCTTCAGACGTTTGCTCATTTAAAAGACAGATGCACTTCATAAATGCAAAGTACAAGTTAAAGAGACGAGTTTAGTCACTCGAAATTTAGTAGTGTTAATGTCCAGGTGATCTACAAAGCATGCCCATCCATTATTCTCTCTAGATGCCAATTTGAACGCTGACGCTAGACGAGAGGACATCTACGCGCGTGGGAATCTGTAAATTCAAAAGATATCGTATCTTGAAATTTCATCGTATCAATATCCTACATTCATTGATTTCTACAGTGATTAAACACAATCTCATCTAAACAAAAATGTTTCTCGTCAATTCTGCAATACAAAGGTCGTGCAACAGAGCTTATTACTAAAAGGAATTGGTGCAGAGCAGCGAAAGTCAAGACGAATCGAATCGATGAATCGTAAAATTCGATGCTAGGATTGAAAATGACGGCGATTACGAGGTTGACTAAACGCATTTAATTCCTTTAGTTTCATGCGAAGTTTTATACTAAAATCGAAAAGATTTTCCATCACGTTTAAAGCTTTCAAAGAAATATATATATAACACTCCCACGTTATTCTCATTTTATCTTCAACACGGCTAGAATATATTAGAGTCAGCTTTATCAGTGCGCATCTATTCTAGATTTGAAATTTATAAAAATAATCCCTGTTACGTGGTACAAATCGAACAACGCGCATACTTCAAGTCCAGCGTTTTCTGCTACCTACATACAGAATTTTTGTTCTTTCCATCCGCCTCGCACTTTTTCTTTGATACTGTTCATTCTTCTTCTACCTCCGGCGATATAAACGAGGCGTCGCGACGCGTATTATCATCTCACTTTGACGAATCCATAAGCATATAATTTAATCACAGAGTTCGTTGGTAAGTAAAACCATTTGCCCAGGTATTTAAATTGTCAATACGTCACGCGAATCATGAGACGTCAATGACGCTATTATTTGCTTCGAACGTATCGGTAACCTTCCTGTAAATGTTTTATTTATCCTATCGATTCTGATGCGATTAGAGTTTCCAAGGAAAGGCATTGCAATATGGTTTCCAGTATAGTCCGCGCACATACGACAAAGGGCAACAATTTTACGAACGGTCGCGAGTGGTTTTCGGAAAAAAATCGGTGAAACCGGTTACACTCGGCGATGGAAGCGTTGGTGTTCGTATGCCTACGCCGGTATACGGAACACGATATACGCGTATACGTATATACTGTGCCTATGCAGAGACGATACGCAAAACGTAAGTATTTAGTACGTCTGTACTTACGTATCGCGTACTCGCGTAGTATACATATGCACGCGCATACACAGACGAAAAAAGTCAGATTCGAGCAGGTGCGAGTAAGAACGTGGTTGTATGCTGTTACAGACGGCAAATATGGTACAAAGTACAGGGTGCCGATTCGCAAGTTACGGGTTTGAGTATGCCTGGTAATAGGCGACGGCGGCGGTGCAATGGAGGTGAGCAGACGAGTAGGATTCTCATAATTTGTCCCTCGGCCGGAAAGTGGGGACGACGCGACCATGGTGGGGACTGGTACTTGATGGGGATATGCTAGGCATGGTCAGCGATGGCGCATGAGGAGCATAGTAGTGGGGATCGAAATATGGGCGAAAAAGAGGGGAAACGAGCCGTACGGGAAAAATTATGAGAACCCTGCAGACGAGGAGACGAGCAGTTGTCCAGTCGAACCGCGACTACCGAGCAGCGTAGATATTTTGTGCACTTCGTCTTTGAGCATTTTACGGATAAAGGACAAACGAGACGAACGAAGTGAAAAATATCGGGTTGCATTCGACATGATATCGTATCGGCAGATGAAAGATTTTGGTGCGAGAACTGTACGCTGTGCGAGATTCAATCTTTGCCGTACTCGTACCGAAATTCTGGGTGCACGCGCGTAAACGTATGTAAACAGCAACTTCGACCAAAGCCGAAGGAGGACACGCGATTCGTTGATGCGTATCCACGCACGCGTACACCATACCGTATTCTTCGCTACACGCCATACGCCATATGTACTACATACGCCATACGCTATACGCCATACGCGACTAACGCGACGGGCATCCTATTCGTACTGTAACGATCGTGGCGTTTGCTCCGCGCGATGCATCGCTGTAAACCAACCGCCAGCGAAAATTCCCAACACCAGGATCAATCGTCTCGATCGCCGTTCGATCGTGCGTTTATCTGCACGATTCGATTACGAATGCACTCTGGATTTTAAAATTCGCGTTTATCGACTCGAAAATACATAGTCGAAAATGCAACGTAGAAAATAAGTGCATACGCGAGTGTGCAACGTTAACAAATCCATAGCTCGCCGCTACGCAGTGCCGTTTACAGTGTAGGTATACCAGTATTGAAACGTATCCTGCGTGGAAGAGAAACGGCTTACGAGAAAAAGAGAATCGAGAAAGTGGAACCGCATTTTATTGGATTTTTTCATCATCGTAGGATCGAACTGTGCGAGCTGTGCGCCGTGTAAATGCATGCATCGCGTTGCGTTTAGCAACACGTCGTGGGCCCGAAGGCTCTGTCTAACGAGTAACAGTACTTCCTCGCGGAGTGCTCTTCTCTCCGAAGAACGGGACCCACGCTCCACTCCGCATCCACGAGTCCGTTCTCCGCTCTCCACGCTCCATACTTTCCTCCTCGTATCTCGCTCTTTCTTTCTCTCTCCTTCCCTCTTTCCCTCATCCAACCTGCTTACTCTTTTCCTCTGTACCGCTTCCATCTCCTTTCGTCGCATACGAAGTAGTCTGGCCGGTCGAGCACGGGGTGTCTCGTGATTCGTGAAACCAGTCCTCGTTCTCGTACGGCAGACCTCTGTCTCTCGGTTGGGACCTGACCAAGAGAGGAGGTTGCCCGGTTTCCTTCTCGCTTTTACCGCGAACCGGCGTCTTTCGCACCTGCCGCGTGTCTTCTCTAATTTTTTTTTTGTGTTTTCGTTTACCGTTGTGTCGTCGTCCTCCCGTAACATTTTCCGGAAACGATAGATTTTTGCGAAGAAATCGTTTTCAACGTAACGTGAACTCGCCGGTATTCCTACGTCGCGCAAGTCAATATTGGCTGTAACGAGGACGCAACGTGGTCACCTGTTAAGAGCTGTGGTTTCACGTTGAACGCGATACTTGAAGATTCCAGATACAGTGCAATTAAAGAAAGAAGATTGAAAAAGAGAAGGACAACAAGAAACGGAAGAGCAAAAGAAACAGAGTACGAAAAACCAATTTCATACTTCACGGCAGGAAAAAAACGAGTGGAATATTTAATAGCATCGTTGCACCGTGGGAAACTCGTCGCAACTTGCAACTTCTTTCGTGCACGTGATGCTCGCATCGGAAGACGAGACGTTTTATTTCTTCGGTTTTAACTTCTGGAGGACATTTAATATCGTGCTAAACGGAAATTCGAAGTACGAGGAGTGCAACGATAGAAAACGCTGAAGATACGGAGAACAAAGTGGATCGATCAAAATCACACCATGACAATCACCGCTACGCGAATCGGGGCATAACTTAATTAAACCTTCTACCTAATATATTACGGAATAAAATGACAGAAGTAATTGTACGCTTCGAGCATCCAGAAGAAGTCGCCTATCGTGGCGGAGGCCAAGACCCGGTCGTTCCGAAGTTTTAGGCTCGTTGAAAGGAAGGTTACGAGGCTCTCTCCGCGAACTCGACCTAACCGCTTCGAGCGTCTTGGTCGAGAGTTCCACTAATCTATTTCGAGTGCCTCTTACCGCTTACCGCCGCATACTGCGTGCGCGTGCACCGGTAAATGCGTGTAAGTACGCAGCTACGTACACGAGACGACTTACCGTATGCCGCGTGCCACAAGAGAATAACTTATATACACGTATACACCTTTTTATTATACCACCTCGTGCAATTCGTGGGACGTATCGCAGTGGACATACAGCAGAATCGGCGGACAACACCGCGAGTCATCGATCCTGTTATTGTTTCGTTCCGTTGGAATTCGGAATCGTACGAACCCGTTCCACTACCCTGCTTTTACCATATTTGCTTCGAACGCAGCAGCAACAGCAGCAGCGGTACCGATTCAATTTATTCGACGTCGTTTCGAGTCAAAACGATCTACGATCTACTGCGTGCTTGCGTGGCTGTGCGTGAAGCGATTAATCAAATTGGAATCGTAAAATTTAAAAGCAAGTAACGGTTCGAGTCAGTGTGAGTGCTCGTTCCGAGTGAGCGTCTTGTTTCTTTTTTCTCAGTTTCGCTCTAATCCCGACTGATCCGCGTACCGGTACGCCGAAACGAATCAATGGCTCGAAGCTGAAAATCGCCTTGAACAATTCACGGAACGCGAAGACCATCAGAAATGAAAACCACGCAACGTGCGCTGAGGTAAGTTCCTGAATGCATTTATCTGTTGTTTATCGCTTTAAATTAAGAATAAAATCATTGCTCTTTAAATACTCGTCGCGTGTCGGTCGTACGATAAAAACTCGTTCGTCCAATCATCGCGATAAGGATCGGGAACGCGACGACTTTCTTTAGTTTCGTGTATCCTGCCTGCACATATATTCGCAAATACACCAATGTGATACGAATCGGTTTCACGATCGACGATTCATTCTTACGCGTTCGATCGAGAAGTAGCGTTCGTTTATAGATTCGGAGGAATAGATAAGATACCGTGCGTGCAGTAGCAAGTAAACGTAAACGCACTCCGACTACTTACATTTAAAGTAGCGTACGCTCTCAATGAAAATGTCAATCTCCTATTTATTATTATTATTATTCGATTCAAATCGATTTCCATTCTTCGTCAACTTTTACTCATTGCCGGTTTTTTCTAGGACTCTATACTTGTCCCACGATCCACGCTGTTTCTCTTTCCGGGCTACCGAGTTCGTCGGTGCCACGTTTCGTTCGTAGAATTTTCGTTGAAAAGTGAGAAGCGGAAAGCGAGGAAAGGATATCGAATCCCTCGGAAATGCCGTGTTCATTTCGAAACAATAACAGCCTCGTGCCCGGGCGTTTGCATACGATGGTAGCTCGGTTATCGGTAGCCGGATCGATCCGAAAGTGGGGCTTCGCCCGAAAAAGGAAATAGAAAGCGGGAAAAATGTCTGATCGCGAGACGGATGAGAATACAGAACGGTTCGATCGTTCGAAGTATTCGCGATACGTACGAGTCTTCTCCAATGTTTCTCTGTAGAGAATCGTTTGAGATTACGATAGACGATAAAAGTTGTGAAACTCGCGACACGTACGTGGAATGGAGAATATTTGTAAGGAACGTTGTCGTTGTCGGTCGCTATTTCCGGCTCGTATTTTACTCACTCGAATCGTTCGCGCGAGAGCGAAATGGAAACTCGTATAACCAAGTGTTTACTACTTTTATTAGCTATTCGATGCATTTAGTATATTCATCATTCTCTTTCTATATTATGTATGCTAATGAGTTACTCAATTTATTAATGGATAAATAAATATGCACGTATTTGTAACGCGAAGGCATCGTGGAATCAGTTGCGCGATACCTGGAAACACGTTCTCTTTCTTATCGCCTCGCGAAAAAGAAGCATCGGCGATGCTCGTGGCGCAACTCGTTTCCTTTGTCAGGTTTCTCATCCATCTGCCCCTCTATCTCTCCCTCCGCCACTCGGGCTTCTTTCCGTTTTATCCAGGCCCGGACCAAAGCGAAGCTTTAATTAAAGCGTTTCAATTAAGGAGATCGGCCAGCCATTGTGCCTGTCCGGCAGCTCGACTTTAGTTGATTCAATGAATTTTCCCTCAACGTCTGTTCCGGGCTGGGAAAGTCGTCCTTGATGAGATTAATTGCAGAAAGCTGATTTCTCTCTCTGTCTCTGTCTATCTCTCTCTAATCCACGAGAGAGAAGAACGGCCGAGTTTCTCATTTCTTCGTTAACTTCTAACTAATCGATCGAATCTCATTACACGTTCTTGCACGTAGCCGTACATGTCTGCCGTTCCCGTCTAATTTCGCGACGCTACACCGCCCCTCGTGATTCTTTAATTCGTCGTCTTTCGAATCGTACAAATTGCAAACAGGCCAATAGTAATCACGTCATGGCTCGATTTTTTATTTCGTATCGTCGTTTCGTATGTACGTATAGCTGTGTCCTGCCAATATAATATCGTTTTTTAAATTCATTCGCAAGAGTGAGCAAACGAATTCGTGCGTGAATCATGGAACGCACGATTTTCCGCTGCTACGGTGATTCACCGCTGCGACGCTGGCCACTACCACCGCCGAGGCCGGGGCCGAAACCTGTTGCCAGAGAAGTCACGTACCGAGCCGATTGTTCGTGCGCACTCGGCCCCTTGGAGCGGTCCTATCTCCGATACTACACGTAATCACGTTCTTTAACTGTCGCAGTAATGTTCCGATGCTACGTTTTCACGAATATGTAGGAGAAAAAGAGTCGACCGATCGTTCTTGTTGGACTGGGAATTGACCCCGGGTCTTTCGCTTATCGATCGACTACTCCGCCACTAATTGTAAGCACCTATACATCAGAATACCAATTTCCTACAAATATACTCGAACGGAGCAGAACATTCGCCTATTAACGATCGTCGTTCGCTTCGTTTAGAGCGAGAATTGGAAAATTCTCTTCGTATCGATTCGTTGAAATCGTTTAGATCATCGAGGAGGGAAGCGAGGCCAATTTGGGAAAAGAAAGGCTTCGGAGAAAACGCGGTATCCGGTACGGTGGTTGAACACCGAGTACAAAGCGGCGCAACGAATCAAGTGTCTTATCCGTTTGGCGTTTGACGCTAGACATGCCGGCACGGTGTTTGGTATCCCATCGACGTCGATGAACGAGGAGGACGGAACGGCCGCACCCGCACTCCGTTGAGCGGAAAACCTGTTGAAAAGTAGTTGGGTCGCGTATAGAAGCGGAGTGATGAACATTCTAGGATAGATTGCTCGGGGTTGCTGTCGTTAGCTCCAATAATCGGCACTTGTTCGCTGCTCATTGTCTTTTAAATGGACGAAAAAGAATCGTCCAGTTATTTTTGATCCATCGATAATCTGATCGATCGCGAGAATTCGGGAAGAATGAATTTTCTTATGTAGCCACATATTAATACATGCATTTGAGGTCTCGAGTCTCAGACGAACGTATAGATATTGAAGTAGAAGCCGATTAGAAGAAGAAAATAAGTTTACGTTTTGCGTGGTTCATACTTCGTGTTTCGTGTTTCGGCGAGATCAATCGTGCGAGACTCGTTCCCCGGGGCTTTCTTTTTGCTCGCTCGATCTCCTCTTTTTCTTTTCATTTCTCCTCCTGTTCCATCTTCTCTTTTTCCATTCGATCTATTCGTTCGCCCATACCATACGAGTACGAGGACTGCGAGGCCAAGGGCGGTTCTGAAGCCTACGAGGTCTAAGTTTGTGGATGCGTTTTACAAGTCTCATTTACTCGTATGTCCTTCGATACTTTCTCCTCTCTCTCTTTTTCTCTCTCTCTCTCTCTCTCTCTCTCTCTCTCTCCCGTTCGACGTTACGAAATCTTCAACCTCGGCTAAAACGAAATTGCAGCAAAATGATACGAAAACGTTGCTCCGTTTAATCGTCGATCGAACCAAACATTCGATACCTTGTTTGCTCGTAATTCGTAATCTCGTGCACGTACTTGTACCGACAAAGTCCGAGAAAAATTCGATCACGGTCGTAGCTCGGCTTAGCGTCGAAAGCGTGGTAAATATGTAGTACAGGTATCTCGGTTCTACCGAACGGACCGTGAAAACTGGGGATTGCGGTGATCGCTTCTACCAGACGTACCGCGTCTTCTCCTTTTTCAGAGACTGCATACTATTTACCAACACGCACAGCCCGGCAAGTGGAAAAATAAGGACGGACCGAGTCCTCCTTCGTCGATCGTATACGACCAGCCACGGAAAATCGTATCGTTAACGATTTACTAAACGATGGCAGCTCGCTACTCGTTTTTCGAAACATGCAACATGTACATCGAGTTTATCATTTGTAATTGGGATTATATTCAGCGAGATTCCTTTTCGAGTTTCGCGTGCAACATCTGTAACGGAATGCGGTGTTATTCGATACGCGCGACAGGCTCGTGGTCCGGTGCTGAAATTTAATTAACATGAGCGTCGAAGCTAACGAGATAGGTAGCACACCACGAGGTAGGTATAGGTAGGCAGTCCGTGGAATGTCGTCGGTGCAGCGCGCGGTGTGTCGCGTTGCATGCGCCAACCCATGGAAACAATAACGAATCGAGCACGTTGCAACAGCGACGATCGTTTACCTTGTCGAATGCCGATTAATAATCGCCGAGCTGAACGGGACACGTAATCGGTGTGCGTGTCTACGAGTCCTCGTTTGGATTCGGATTCGAGCTTATTCGACGTATGAACACATACAATTCATATACGATGCAACGAAAACGAAATATAGTACATGCCCCAATTTCTGTTCAACCCACAATTTCGATTCACTTCCTTTTTTCTGTGTCTGTATGCGCAATCTTAAATCAGTGAGCAGAAATGAGGACATTTATTGTATGTTCGCAGTGTGAAAATATTATATAAATGGGCATATGTAACGTTGCAGAATTTAATCGACTCTTCCGACGTTGCTCGTGGACACGTTCGTATATCATTATCATTTGTTTGAAAATCTTGTGCTTTCACACGATCCAATCTATTTTCGATGCGTCCACGATCAGCGCTGTTCCATTGAAAGACTATATCGCATAGAGAAACAAAAGGAGACGCAAGAAAGGAAGAGGGGTGCTAGAGAAAGGAAACTCCGCTGCCGGTAGGCGAAACGTCGTCGTCGCACGTATCTCGAACCTCGATCGATTCCGGAACGAAAGCGAGACACTGGCTGGGACCATTTTCAGGTTTTGTCTTACTTAGCGAGGTGAAGCGAGATCTAAAATTTGAAACATCCTGTTTTAAGTCTTCTAACATCCTACAGAAAATTATGTTCTTTAGTCCACTATTAAAGAAGTGATTCTGTTTTTAAAAGGTGTTTCATCAATTTCGGGTCATTGAACATGGCAATGATGGCAAACCTTTTTGAGAAATGGGTCAAACTTTGTTCGTTATTTTTTTTTAGTATTAGCTCATGGGTCGTTAAGTCAGTGGCGTCACTTGGAAAGGGGGAGGAAAGGATGGTTAAAAACTACTTTTTTAGGTTCTCACTTTTAAGATCCTCTAAAACTTTTGCAAGTGAAGAGCAAGAAATAAAGATCGACGTAAAAAAATTGATATAAATGGGGTGATATAAATTACTGCACAAAGCTCAGTCAGCAGTATTTTTTTAATATTTTTGATTGTCTGTTCTCTCTTTTATGCTATAAAATATAAGTTTATAGAATCAACGCGTGGGTCATTTAAAA